ATTATCCGATGATCGTATATTGGTCTGTGGAACGAATGCTTTCAAACCAAAGTGCCGTAGCTATCAATATGGTCCGGTATGTAATTTAGTATAAATTTTTTTTGAGTTTTTTTAAATTTCGGAATCTTCAAAAATATTTTCAATTTAGATGCATAATTTTCTAAAATTAAGTGAAAAACCTGGCGAAGCTATCTGTCCATATGATCCATCATATTCAAGCACTTATACATTTTATGGTAAGTTTTTTCTTTTCATACGATGTTTCGTCAAATTCTCGACACTGTTTTTTACTTTCAAAATCTTACTGTTTCTCTTTCTCTATCTTTTTATAACTGAAAACATTCTCTTTCTCTCTCTTTCTATATTCACTATTCAAAACTACATCAACAATAATTTCGTCAACCTAAAATTTACTTCAAATCATAGGATCATTCCATGAACGTTCAGGTAAACAAACAACATGAATTCGTTGAATTTAGCATGTATAGTAATTTTTTTTTCTTTTGTTGTTGTTTTGTTGGACGTTTTTTTTTATTTTGAGATTCTTTTTACTTTTAAATCTTAACTATCATATTTCACTTAAACATCCGAACTAATTTTAATTGTTTTGTCTTTTTTTTAGAGAAAAATTTATACGTTGCAACTGTAGCTGGTTTTACTGGTGCCGATCCATTAATCTATCGTGAACCATTACGTACCGAACAATTTAATCCTAAACATTTGAACGGTAATTATTATTTTTTTGTTTGTTTGTTTTTCTTTTTCGTTGTTATTGATCGTACCTATTTTTTCTAATAATCATTATTCGAATTCGATGATCCAAATAATAATGATGATGATTTTTTCTTTTTTATTTCAGCACCAAATTTTGTTAGCTCATTTCCTTACAATGGCCATGTTTACTTTTTATTTCGTGAGACTGCAGTCGAATATATCAACTGTGGTAAAGCAATCTATTCAAGAGTAGCCCGTGTTTGTGCCCGAGATAATGGTGGTCCACATAAATTTCGGTAAATATCATCATTATTATCATTATCGATTCTATTAATAATAATCATCATTATCATTTATTTTTGTTTGTTCAATGTTTATTCCTTACAATTATCATCATCATCAATGTTCTAATAATCAGAGCCCGATGGACAACATTTCTAAAAGCTCGCCTTAATTGTTCAATTCCTGGTGATTTTCCGTTCTATTTTAATGAGATCCGTAAGTCACAAATTCTTTTGGTCAATTCTCTTTTTTCGTCTTGTTTGTTTGTTTGGTTTGATTTGGTGTTTGTTCTTTTTTCCAAACTAAACAAAAAAAATAAAATAAAATAACCACAATTTTTTCCGGTCATTAATATTTGTTTTTTCTTTTTCTTTTTTCATTTATTTTCTGAAAAAATATACAGAGGCTAGCTCGGAAATTGTCAAAGGTTTATATGGTGGACAAAATGAACAATTGATATATAGCGTTTTTACAACACCGGGCAATTCGATTGGCGGTTCGGCTATCTGTGCCTTCCGCATGGCCGATATTGATGCCGTTTTTCGTGGTCCATTCAAAGTACAAAAAGATATTGATTCGAATTGGTTGCCCGAATCACCGCCGATATCACCACGTCCGGGTGAATGTTCAAATGATTCAAAAAGTTTGCCAGAAAATACATTAAAATTTATTCAAGAACATTCACTTATGGATCATACTGTACAATCATTTTGGAATTCACCAATACTTGTTCGAACATCGTTTCAATCACGATTTACATCTATTGCTGTCGATCCTCAAATTGAAACTGCTTCGGGCAAAACTTATGATGTTCTATTTATTGGAACCAGTAATGGAACCGTCCTCAAAGCTATCAATGCAGCTAGTCCTTTGACCGGACATTCAAATGATTATGGTAGTTCGGTCGTACCAGTCGTGATTGAAGAGATAACTGTATTTCCTCGTGGAACTCCTGTTACTCAATTATTAGTACATCCATCATATTACAATGCTAAATTGGTTGCATTTGCATCTCATGAAATCAAAACGATTCGATTGTATCGATGTCAAGCAAAAACTTGTGGTGAATGTGTACGACTACAGGATCCTTATTGTTCATTCGATTTACAGCAACAAAAATGTACAAGTTCACGTTCACGTTATTGGAATCGTGAAAATTTCGTACAAAACATTGAAATGGGTTGGGATCCTAGATGTCCCGATGGACGGCCTGGCATGCCATCTGGAACATCTGATGAAAATAATATGGATGAGAATCGTATGGACACAAGTGATGAACAGGAATCTGATATGACAACAGGTCCAAGTGCTGTTCCCGTTTATTCAAGTGAAACATTTGCATTGGCTGTAGTTACATCGGTGGTTACATCATTGGTTTTCGGTTTCATCATTGGCTATATATTTAGTCGAAGATGTAGGAAAGATGATCCGGGAATTTGTTCACCATATGACGATCCCCATAGTTATCTTGATCCACACAATTTTGCTGGCGCTTTGACAGCTGGCCATCATGGTACAACCGGTTTGACAAGACTCACAGCAGGCCATGGCCATGGTCCCGGTGGTATGGCACCATTATATGGAACACATGGTACTTTAGGTCATCATTATTCCTCAGCTGGCCATGGTCCTATTGGACATCCGGCTGATATGGGAACATTAGTTAATTCAAAACCAATCAATCTTGTTTTGAACGTACCTAAAGGTGGTTCAAAAAACGCAAATTCGTCGGCGGACAACAAACCTATGCAGAAGGTGAAGAAGATTTATTTGTAAATCTCAACAGAAACAATAACAACAACAATGACAACATCAATCATACAATTTTAGTAGTCAACGAACGTAACGTCAATAGTCCATTATTAACAACGGCAACAACAGCAATTACTTCAGTAAATAATCTTCGTAATGGCCGTGGTTATTCACCAGCTGCAACACCACGATATGGTCCATTGCCTTCATTGTTAAATCATCGTCGAGCATTGTTGAATAATAGTGATAACAATGTACCGATCATCAATAGTGCACCGATGCACCGTCGATTACTTCCTGGAGCTTTATTAGCTAATCGACAAAACGGTACTACTGCTGGTAATGGTGGTGGAACAATTTTACCACCGCCTGCTTATTCTGATCTCGATGATTTTGATATGAATAGTAGCCAAAATGGTGAATGTTCATCGATTGCAACTGAACCACGATATCAGCCGATGCCATTTAACAATAATAACATTAATAATAATAATCGCCATCAACGCCGTCCGTTACCTAATCCACAAATATCGAATGATAATGATAATAATAATCTTTTTCTTCTTCATGATCGTCGCGATATTGGTAACAAAAATCGTAAAATATCCACGAAAAAACAACAATCATTGGATGAAATGAACAATTGTAATAATAATAATAATAATGATCAACATCAGCAAACAAAACATCAACAAAAACAACGAACATCATCAATGTCATATTCGACTGGTGATAGTGAAGCAACAACAATAACTGCCGATGATTATGCTGGTTATGGCCATACAACATCCGCTGTTACTGCTGTTGCTCATCAGGAAGAATTAGATGAAAATGAAGATGAAATTGTGGAAGGTGATTACGAAGATATAAGTCAATTGTAATGACCATCATCATCATCATCATCAAAATCGACGTTCATTTTTTTCGTATTTCATTTTCAATCGACTAAATCATTATAAATTTACAATTCAATTCATTCAATGATCGTTCCATCGTTACGTTTCGTTATAATTTTCTTTTTAAAAAAATGATGATTTTTTTCAACTGTTGTCAAACAATAAACTAGAAATTAAATTGAAAAAGTCCAAAAAAAATGTATAGAGATCGTGTTGTCACGCCGACGTAAAACCATCAACCAACAACCATAACCTAATAAATACTCACACACACAGCAGGTACGATTCTTAAAACTAATTGAATCGATTCTACCAAACAAAAAAAAAGAGAATAATAATGTTTCACACATTTTTTTCCCCGACAATAAACTTTGAACTAAATCATTGAACATCTTTAATTATTTTCATGATTTTCATTTACCATCTAAATGAATGTAACAGCGACAACAACAGTTGAGAAGAAGAAAAAATCATCATCATCATCATCGAATCAATCATTTCATCATTCAATTCTCTACAATCATTAATATTGTTGTTGTTGTTCATGATGATGATTATGATTATAATGATAACGCCGACGCCTGAAATCATTTTTCTTATTCATTATTGTTCATTATTTAAGAAAAATTTTCCATTTTTTTTTCTTTTCACTCCTTTTTTTCAAATACCTATGAAGTTTTGTTTTCCAAAAAAAAAATCTATTGTATTCATTATTTATTGATTATCAGGAAGTTGGCTTTAAAGTTCATAGTCATTGTCACACTATATACACATACCGACACACACTTATATTTTGATCATCAAAGATGTTTCATTTTTTTTATTCATGTTGTAAATGTAAATAATAATAAATAAAAGAACTAAATATCCATTCATCAATGATCTTGTCGATCATTAAAACAGCATTTTTTTATTATTAATATTTTCATTCATTATGTATGTCATCCTCATCCTCATCATCATTTTGTTTGATTCGACCACCTTTTGATGGTTGCGACCGATTTTTTAATTTTTTTTTTGTTGTTTTTGTTTTTTTTCCTTCGTATTTTTTGTTATATTCGAATGTGTGATCATTTTATTTTCTGTCGTTTTGTTTTGTATGTCATATATATCGATGTAACAATTTTCTCTTCTTTTTCGGTCTCTCTATCCCTTTTTTTCAATGTAAATATCATGTCCATGTATATCCATTATCGTCATACAAAATCAATGGTTAATTCACGGTCGACAAAATACAATATTCAAAAAAAACAAGAATTTTTTTTTGTATTATAACAAATGATAAAAAATAGTCAAAATACAAATCAATATAAACATTACAATAACAAAGAATTTGAAAAAAAACAAACATAAATTTAATGATAAAAAATTTTCAATTTTAATATGATAAATGAATAAAGAAAATAACTTATTTAGTCAAGTGAAAAAATGCATTTTTTTGGTGTGAAAAAAAGGGTTAAGCATATATATAAATAGCGAAGATTATTCATTCGAAAAAAAATTGATGTAATATCATTAAATCGGATGCCTAAATCGACATTCATTGGCTGACAATGGACAGCCACGTGGATGATTTTGATAAAACCAACAATCTTTTTTTGTTTTCATCATTTGTACATCATTTTGATTATTATCAACGATATTTTGGTTACAAATGCGTAAATATTCGATCGTTTGAAATTGAATTCGGCCATTACGAATAGTGAATATGAATTTATGATTTCGAATAAAAGTTTGTAGGCCTCCGCATTGATTTTTCATATGTTTACGTATCCGATCTTTATCATCCGAATCATTATTGGGATTGTTCGAATCAAGCAAATCGATCGCCTCCTGAAAACTCAACGACGATCCATCATAAGGGTCTTTTTCATTGTTCGCCAGAGATATTAGAGCGTTAGACAATCTACTAATGATTTCTTGTTTGATATTCTGATCGATACGAGTACAATTACGTACGGGTTCTTTAGTCTCACGTAAACGTTTTCGTTGATTTGGATCATTCTGTTTTTGTAATGAATTTCTAACTATTTGGCGACGTTTTTGTTGCCATTCTGATTCGATCGATTTATCGTTTTGTTTGCTGAAGTTTTGGTCACCATCATCATTAATGTTGTTGTTTGAAATCAATGACATCGAATAAGTTCGGCCTGTACAGATTAAACAAATACGTTTTGTGGATGGTATACGTAGCTTATCACGTTGACATCGAGCAAATCCAAATTGATAAGAAAGACGTTCAAGAAAATCAATATAACATTGGTATTGACTTTTGGTTGATGGCTCTGTTGTACGTTGAAATTTGAAACCGTCCAAATTATAACAACAACAAGGCAATAGAAATACTCGTGTTTGTGTATTTTGCATGGCAGCCATATAAAGTATCCATGGTGTCAATTCATCCGAATGATTACCGATCATCCAATCACAATGTGGCAGACCAAAATCAATCGAAGTTTCATATTCAAAAAGGTCAATCTTCATTTCGATTAATCGAACTTTTTTCTGTTGATTGTCATTGTTGTATTGATTCCAAATATTTCGTCGTCGTAAATCGACACCATATCCGTCATATTCTTCCTGAGTAAGTATATAGACTAAAAGCCCATTACCGCAGCCGATATCGGCAAATGTTTGTTTCCGTTGTTGAATGGAATCAAACTTTTCCATTTCTTCTTGCCACAATGTAATCAAATAAGCTGCAATGGCAATATCTTCATAGATGAATTTGATCGGATCCGTATTTTCAATGGTTGTCCAAATACGCATCAATGGTTGAACATATTTTTGCTTAAGGCGATTATAATTTTCGCAATAATTTTCTACAGAAATGTTTCTAATTGATCCTTCGAACTTTTTATTATCATGATTGTCGACATAGCTACTATTTTGACTTTTTTCTTCCTCTTTCCATTTGCCCTTGAGTTTGTTGTCAATTATTTCGATATTCTGTTTTCTTTGCTGTCGAATCCATCGTTCGAATTTATTCTTGAAGACATTCTTTAACCATAATTGTGATTCTTTTCCATTTTCGGTTGGTCCCAATGATGGAAAAGAAAGTTCAAGATGAAAGTTTTCCTTATCACAGCTTTTTGTTTCGTCATCATCATCAATCAATTTCAATGCAAAAGCAATGTCATCACTTCCATTGCGAATATTAATTTGAACATGACCAGAATTTTCATCTTGCCCAACATCAACATTGAATCCGGGATCAACATTCACTGGTACAATGATGAATTCATTTAATAATGGATATAGACAGACAAAATCATATTCGATATTATTATTATTAATAGATTGATCAGATGATGCCGAATTCTTCAACAATGATTTAAGTGATTGTTTACGGAATAATTTCCGAAGAATTAATATCGGTCGTTGTTGTTGCAATTCATTTGATTGATCACAAAAATTCAAGAGATTACTATTCTCATCACAAATTTTAAAAATTGAATTAAGGTGTTTAATGCATGTTTTGTAATTTGATGCTAAGAAAAATTGCTCGATTTCATAATGTTCGCTTGGAAATTGCCAAAATCGTTCTAATTTAGCACCAAGTAAACGTTTATTTAGTAGATTTGGACGATGAATATAAAGTAAAGCCGCATGCCAAAATGAATTATCCATCGCCGTAAAATTCGTTTAGAATGATGAACAAAATCAGGTGTAAAAATGCCATGTGACAACTTATTCTGGATAATTTTTTTTTGTTGGAACATTAGCTGACATCTGGTTGAGGATTCTGAATGTAAATATTCTTGGTCACGTGATGGAACAATTTATGTGAATGTTCACAATTGCGATCTCGAATCTTCAGTCAGATGAGCGGCTTCTGTTTAATTGTAATCGATGAATATATCAATCGACTTCATGGTTATTCTATGATTGATTTTATTCAATTTGCCCGTTTCTTAACTGCAAAATCATGTTAAAACTTTGACACAACTAACTGAAGCGTACATCGTCATTGCATTAATTTTTCCTTTGATTGTAACATAATAATCATCAAACATCGAAAGTCAAAATGATGAAATCATTTTCGTTAAATCCGAAGAAAAAGAAAGATATTGAAAAGCAGAAAAAATTGGCCGAAGAAGAAGCTTGTGCCGAGGCGTATGAAGAATTTGTCGCTACATTTGAAACACCAAAATCACAGTCCAAACTATTCGTTCGTGGTACTGTAATCAATCCGAATTCTGGTCAGGAATTAAGTGCTCAAAACTCTGGTAAATTTTATAAGCCAGAAAAACTTGAAGAATTGGAACGGAAAAAATCACAATCACATGAATCCAGAAGTAAACATGACAACGATAAGAAATCAAGTCATCATCATCATTCATCGACATCACCATCAAACATTCATGATAAACCACCAAAGAAAAAAGGTGATGGTAAGAAAAAAAGCAATCTTGAAATATTCAAAGAAGAACTAAAGATGTTACAAGAAGAACGTGAAGAACGATTTCGACAACGAAACAATGTAAAAGAAACTAAATCATCTAATCAAAGTCATAAATCGTATGATGATGATTTGGATGCATCAAATTGTAGTAACAGTAGCTTGACGAAAAAAACTGGATCACATGATACAGGTGATCCAAATACGACAAACATTTATTTGGGAAATTTAAATCCAAAAATGACCGAAACACAATTATGTGAAATATTTGGCCGATATGGTCCGTTAGCATCGGTCAAGATAATGTGGCCACGTAGTGAAGAAGAACGAACTCGGAATCGAAATTGTGGATTTGTTGCATTCATGTGTCGAAAAGATGGTGAACGTGCATTAAAAGCGTTGAGTGGTAAAACATTCATGGATTATGAAATGCGATTAGGCTGGGGAAAAGCTGTACCGATTCCACCCACACCAATTTATATACCTCCAACATTACACGATTTGATCATGCCACCACCACTTTCTGGCCTTCCGTTCAATGCTCAGATCCATGATGAAAAAGATTTAGAATTGCTAAAAAATTATGGAAATGATCCGCAAAAATTATTCCACGAAAATCGAGAAGCATTTGATGATTTATTAACTCGAACTGTAGTCAAAGTAACAATTCCTCAAGATCGAAATCTTCTGTGTCTAATTCATCGTGTAGTGGAATTCGTAGTACGAGAAGGGCCACCATTCGAAGCATTATTGATGAATCGAGAGATTACAAATCCACAATATTCATTTTTATTTGAAAATCAATCAGCTGCTCATATTTACTATCGATGGAGACTTTTTTCAGTTTTGCAAGGTGAACATCCAAGTCGATGGCGAACCGAAGAATTTCGAATGTTTGTTGGTGGATCGTTTTGGCGACCACCGCCCATCAATTTATTTCAACAAGGAATGCCTGAAGAATTGATACCAAACGAAGATGAAGTTAACAATGATTTCGATGATCGTCGATCGACTTCGAGTTCTGATTCTAGTGGAAGTTATCATCATCGTCATCGCCATAGACATCGTGAAAATGGTTCATCAAAAAAATCGTCAAAATCTAAGAAACGTCGTCATAAAGAATCATCGGCCAAATCATTGTCATCATCATCATCGAAATGTCATCAATTGAGCAGTAAAGAGCGAGAAAAACTTGAAGATATGTTGCGAGCCTTAAGTCCACAACGCTCAAAAATTGGTGATATGATGGTTTTCTGCATTGAACATGCCGATTCATGGGAAGAAATTGTCGAATGTATAACAGATTCATTGTGCATTTCAGAAACTCCATTGTATAAAAAAATTGCCAGGCTATTCTTGGTATCAGATATTCTGCACAATTGTTCTGTCAAAGTATCTAATGTTTCCAATTATCGTAAAGGATTTCAATCCAAATTACAAGACATTTTTCAATCTTTCTATCAAGCATACATTCAGATTGAAGGTCGTTTAAAAGCCGAACAATTCAAGGTATTTGTTATTTTAACTTTTATGGAATGATTTGACTAATATTTTTTTAATTAATTGTTTATAGCAACGTGTAATGAATTGTTTTCGAGCTTGGGAAGATTCAGCTATTTATTCATCCGATTTTCTCATCAAATTACAAAACATTTTTCTTGGATTGACAAAGCCATTATCATCCTCTGCTACGGTATCGAATCCAACAGTGTTGAAAAATAAAGAATTAGCAAGCAAATCATCATTTTTATTGCTCAACAAATCTACAAATGCTGATGATATTGATGGTGAGCCGATTATTGACCCCGAATTAGATGGAATGGAAATGACATCGATAAATGAGACAGATAATCAGAAATTAATCGAAGACCCATTTAAAAACAAATTTAAAGCATCAAAATGGGAAACCATCGATCCCGATGACCAAGAACTATCAACACCGACAAAGCCACCAACAAAGATAAGCTCAAAATGGAATAAAAATCTCCAAGATATATACGCAGCGGATGAATTGATGGATGAGTCAAATGATGCTGATCAAAATGTTGAGGATATCGATGATATTGATGGCAAACCTTTGGAAGATGATGATTTCATAGAAAAACTTGTTAAAGATGATAAAAACAAAAATCCAACAACTACTTCTGAAACTTCAAACCTACCACGAGAAGTGCTAAGAGATATTGAGCTACAAGTTGTTAAATATCAGGATGAGCTTGAAACAAATGTTCGTTCTGGAAAAAAAGTGTTAGACTTGTATGAAACAATTGGTCAATTGGTGGAAAAATATCGAAATGAATTGATGAAAAAAGCATTGATAGCAAATCAACCTTCATCATCTTTGGGTCGTATGAGATCCAGATCAAGATCTCGATCACCTACAACAAAATTGATATCAAGGCATCATTCATCATCATCATCAGCAACAACATCAATCCCTTCATCCGCATCAAAACGTCGTAGATGACCGAAAAGCAGCAAGAAATTTTCCTCATTCTGATTCTATTTATTTAACCAATTTTTCTTGGATATTTTTAGAGACAACAAATGTTCATTAAAAAAAATTGATTTAATCAAAAATAAATCAATGACGATTATATGTAATTTATAGTAATAAATAAATAATTTTTTTTTTGAAGATCAGGATTGAGAGAGACACAAACAAATTAAAATATATCAACGATTATTCCACACCGATCACATGACTTAGTTGAGCAAAATAATCATTTTTTAAAGGCAATAATAATTTTCGTTCAGGTTTGATTGGATCACAGTTAGGATACGAATGAATGATATCGGTCGAATTATCAGTGACAAAATCCAACGATGATAATAATGACGAACCACCGAAAACATTTTGTAGCTCATAATTCAATGGAAAAATATGACCTTCGGTGCTGAACAAATAGAATTCGTTCGATTGTTTATTCAGAGGGTTTTCTTTATCAAATAACTAAAATTAAATTAGGAAAAAAATTGAAATGAATATAATTTCATTCATTATTTGATTAGTAATAATTACCAGATAGAGATATTTGCAAGTTTCGCTAAGAAAGAAACTTTCCATTCGATCTTCTAAGCTTTTTTCCTGCACATCATGTACGGTACCGTAGCCACAATTTGATCGACTATATTTATTGATTGATTCGAGCATCATTCGACCTACATGAAGATAAAATGGATTTTTTGTCGCCTGATATAGCTGATAAGTTGATTCGGCTAATTCTGGCCGTAATGGATAGAATGATAATTCGGGTTCCGATTGATGCCAATTGTAACGTTCCGGTAATAGGTCAAATTTACGCCATATATTAAAAAATAGCATATGAGTACAGATGGCTTCTTCAACATCACCGGCCAATAATTGAACAGCTGGCCATGCTGCTGCTAACGCATCGATCCAAGTGTTTATCGTTCGACCATTATACATATTTACATTGACATACATAGGATGTTGTCCAATACCCGAATTGCAAAATGGCCTGCCGCGTCGATTAAAAGTTTTAATTTTATCATAGCTTTCCTTAAACATTTCCCAATACGTTCTTTCATCAAAATATATCCAAGATTTTAAAAGATATTCATAGAATGAATCGATTCCGGCACCAATTCCAGAAATTTCACCAAGCCATTCGCCTGACTCAACATCGATAGAATTGCCGAATAAACCCGTTTTTGCACGAATTGCCCAAAGTGTATTAATTGCACGTTTAGCAGCTATTTCGAATCGAAAATCACCAGTCAATCTACTTAAAATACCGAATTCAAGTAACAAAGAACCAGCACCGGCAGGACAAGTTTCTGTTTTACACCAATGACATAACGTTGAATTCGGTACACCTTCACGTAAATGAACTCGTGGATATGGAAGACCGGTAGTTGATGTTTCCAAGGCTGGTAATAATCGTTCAGCTAGATCTTTGGCCATTAAAATAAGTTCATTATTATACCATGGAGGTCGAATTTCCGGGCCGAACATTAGCCTCTTATCGGTAATTAATAAATGGGCAGATAAAAGGCCACCAAGAACACGAATGGTCGCTTCGAAAACTTGAACTATAACATCGTTATCGAAATTGACCGTATCGATTACAAGTTTGACAGCCCTATGAAATTCACTATAATTTCCCATGACGACCAATGTGTCCAAAGTGTCAATCAAAGTCAGGGAATAATTTCCGAGAACATCGTTTATGTTAATATTCGAACTGCTTGTTGAAAGAAAAATTAATTTGAAATAACTAATAAAATCTTTCTTTTTTCTTTTATTGATATCTTACGGATCATCAAAATCAGGTCCACGTCCACGACAATAGACTGGATTCAATTCATCAGCAGGGAATGCATGTTCCATGTAATTATCATAAGCGAATATAAAAGTTTCTTTTGCCAATTTCAACATTTCAATACGTTCATTTTCTGTGAATGTTCCAAACATTTTGTCATAATGGCCAGGTTTTGTTCGAAACAGATTCTCTACAATTGAATCTGATGGCAATTGAACCATGGAAGACGAATGATCGGAGAGTAATAAAATAAAAATCAAAACGAAATGGGCCAATATGGAATGACTGATGAAATTGTTTTTAATTATGATTCTTATTTTATTCACATTCTTTGGTATCGATGATTTTGCTCTGAAATACATAATTATGTATAACTTATCTTATCTTCAATTTGAAGATTTTCGCATCGATTCAAATTGATTTTGTTTTGTGATAATATTTTCAATAATAAAAATGATGACAAAAATGATAATAATAAAAATAGAGGAACGTTGAAAAATGTGCACATCATTATCATTATCGAATCATTATTGTTATATAGAATGTATAATAAAATTAAAACGATGAAAAAAACAAATACTATTAAACACAAACAAGCAAAAAAATCGAAAAAAAACAAAAATCTAAATCTAATAAACAACGAATAACGCGTTATTTCGCTAACGATCCATTGAATAAAATATGAATTCTCAAAAGCCACGTAATCAGCTGAATGTGGAAAAAAATCCCATCACATCATTTGTGGATTTTTCTCCTTTATTCCAATATACGGATTTAATATTCGAAAGATTTGGCGCGCATTTTTGTATTTTTTTCCAATCCATTTTCTATGATTTGTTTGGAAAATACGTGAAAAAAATATTTTTTGTCAAGTTCTTGTGAATATACAATTTTTTTTCTTCGCTGTCTTTGTTGATGGACAATACACAGAAAAAAAATCGATTCCGATAGAATTAAGTTAGAAAAATCAGAAATTCTAAAAAAACTAATACTTTTGCGCATCGAAAAATAGGAATTCTATTATATAGAATAATGGAATTTTTGCGTCTAGCTTTTTTGGATTACTTGGAACATCGTTATGATGATGATGATAGTATAAAATTAATGAAGCCAATTCAACAAACTAACCAGACTATCATTGAATGTCGTCGTTATCGTTTGGTATGTGAGATTGGGAAAAATTTGAAAATTCTTCTCATTAAAAGTGATTTGTAAGCGCCAAAAAAAATCAGTATCATTTTCAAACTTTTCATTCTTCATTCGAATGTTTTTGTTGACAAATTTTAATCATCATTATCATTATCATCATGTTGAATTTAATGTTTTTGAAACGTTTCTGGACTTTTAACGAGAATCATCATTCATCATCATCAGCATCAACAAAAATTAAGGATACGAAAACAACTGAAATGAACTGTGATACAGATAATGATTGTCATAATGATAATTATAATGATGAACATTGTGATCGTAATAATAACAACAACAAATTTGTCAATAAATTTGGATTGCAATCATCATCATTCATAAATTCTTCAAATAAATTCCATTTGTTTATATTGTTATTCATATTACTTTATATAGCAGTATTGATAGAATCTTTATTTATATGGCAACAACAGATTACATTAAATGAACATGATCAACATTTAATGGCATTGACCACACGATTATTATCTCGAACACGATTCAATGATGGTATTGTTAATAATAATGATAAAAATGTTAAAAAACCAACAATTCGATCGAAATCATCATCATCATCATCGACAACAACACGACGGAAACGTGAATTGCAAAACATTTTCCGTTGGATCGATGATAAAACTATTATTGAATCATTAAACAATCGAAATGAATCTGAATTATTCAAACATCATCATCATCATCATCATCGTAATCAACGTCGAAGGCAAACATCTGAAAAACAACAACAACATTCACAACAACAATCAAAAGATAATGGACAACCAGCTGTCGATTTTTTTCAACAACCACAACCAACAGATCAGCCAACAATTCCAGGATTTACATGGTTAACATCATATTCACGAATTCCGGTAAATGAATCTTTGATTATTTCTTCTATCGAACGAAAATTTTCAAAATCGATATAAAGGAAAAAATACCGCAAACGATTTGATTCAAAAACACTTTTTTTTAATATTTGAATTTAGTTGTGGAAAGGAAAATTCAAACTTTTTTTCTACGAAATTCATTCCACTTTCATTGAAGCATGATCGTTTCAAATTATTTCCGCTTGAAGCCTCTACTTTTCTCATTTTTTGTTTGTTTGTTTATTTTGTTTATTCATATTGTCTGATCTCGATTTCTTACAATTATTTCAAAGGTTTTTCTTTATTTATTTATTTTATTTTTTGCTGATCAATGTTGTTGAAATACGAAGAAAAAAAAGAATGATTGAAGAAGAATCAAATCAAACAAACCGATGCGACATTATGAATAAAGAAAGTGTTGTTGATATTTGGATCGAAATAAATTCGAATCATTCGCAGATGGTTTTTCCTATTCATACACTCACACATACATTCGATCCATAAACTTCTTTGATCAAACTTTGAGGAATGAATATGAAAAAAAAAGAAACCTAAACAAAATGAAAGAAAAAATAAATAAATAAATTACCTTAATAACCGTCGAATGTGTTTGTGTGTATAAAAAACATCTGGATAAACTATATGAAAGATGAAAATATCTGAACCATAGAATTCTAACAAAATCTTCTCATCGTAATCATCATAGTGAAGTGGAAGAATTGTTATATATTCAACCAACCGATGAGAATATTAGAATGATGATGATGATGATGATGATGATGATAAAGATGAAGAAAAGAGAATAACCGAATCGAAAGATAAACGACTTCTTACACAGATTGGTTTGTGAGTTTTTCTGTTTCTGTAACTTTAACCGTAAATTCATTTTAATTTTGTTACCAAAAAAAATTATTGTTCACTGAAATCGGTATTAAACACGCAAATACTTCACTTAACAATCATTCGTTATATCTAATGTACCAGATTTTATGTTTTGGGAAAAAAAGTAAAAAACATTAATGATGTTGCTCAAGATCCAGATTTTTTTTTGTCTTGCTAATTTTCAAAACATTTTTTCACCTTACATCGGTCAGAAGAAAAAGTTTTGTTTTTCTAGTTTCGATTTGATTCTTGATGTTTTCAACTATGGAATTTGTTTTTTGTTTCAAATCAATCACTTTGTTTCATTGACTATTCATATGTTTGTTTGTTTTTCATTTTGATTTATTAAGCAATCTAATTTACAAATCAAAATGAAAACCAAAAAGTCCATTTACCTAAAATTGGAAATTGTATGTTTCTTACAACAAGAAAAGAATCAAGAGAATCAATGTTATGATGAAAGCTAATATTTAATTCAATACGATTCTTTAGTGAAAATCATTGATGTTTTTCTATATACCGTATGAGCTGTTTCATTCGTGCTACGAATATTGATGTTTATTTTTGTTGGATATTGAAATAGAAATAAATGGGAAAAAATTTTCACTTCATTCTATTATCGTTATTTGTGCATGTGTTGTTTTACGGATTGTAGATTCTTCCTGGATTGATTCGGAATTCAAATTCTATATTTTTTTTCTCTTTTTTGTTTAGGATGAATATTTACTGCTTTCGTTTGTCATATTTATTTTATTCTTTGCATGTCGATTATTGAAATTTTGACATTTCCATGATTTGGCCATATTTATGGCTAAAAGAGAAAAAGAGCAAGTAAATCAAATTTACACTACTTGGTTGTCAGAATTAATTTGTACCAGAATTTCTTGTTCTTCGACAAACAAACATCATTTAAAGTATGTTTTTTGTATGGTCTATTCTCAGTTAAATCTCATTAATTAGGCTGCCACTAATGATGATTGAGATCAACCTTTTATTTTATCATAAAATTATTATGCTCTGCTATTACTGTTGGAAAATTGGTTATTCTCTTCAATTCGGTGAATTTTATTTTTATTTTTTAGATAATAAAAATTCAATATAAATCAAATAATATCTCGGCTTGTAGTTAAGTAAAAATAATAGACAGGATTCAATATCGATCCATAAGGAAAAAAATTGATGAGATCGATATTTTACTGTTTATGTATGTGATCACAAACATCAACTTATATATAGATAACCAACATTTAGCCATCAACTGTGTCCCTGTCATTGCTCATCATCATCATCATCATTGGGTGTTAATGTAATAAACACACATACACACAAATAAACATTTATATACGGACAACCATACGGATATTTCAACGAAAATTTGAGCATCAAAAAAGAAAAAGAAAAAAAATATTGAAAAAAAAGTTTAACTAAAAACACACTGCTAGAAGCGAATGAAAATAAAATCGAATTTTTTGTTTTTTTTTTCCAGTTTTCCAGTTATCATTTGCCACTCATATTATATATCCAAGTTGATCATGAAATGTGCAAATGAAATTCTCATGAGAGATATATTTTGTTCGTTCAGTTCAGTTCAGTTCAGTTCAGTTCAGTTCCAGGATCAGATCCTTGAACAACGATGAGGGGAATTAGGGGTAAAATAAAATCGATGATAATCAAAAATGATTATTGTGTTGAAATAGTTGTATCCTGTATGATCATCATAATTTTTTTTTGTTTCTTCATTCTTTTTTTTTCGACTTGATGATTATCATTTTAGAATGAAAGTTTTTTTTGTAGCTATTTCGTTTCTTATCGGTATAATTTTGTTGTTTTGTTTCGATAAATTTCCGATGAAAAAGAACTTTTGTGTAAATATTAAGAAATAATAGAATCGAATGTGTATCCATCACACACACATGATGATGATGATGATATGATGGATAATAAGCGATCAATCATTGAGCAAAAGGGTAGACATAGTTTTTTTTCTAGACTTTTACTAGACTTTATCAAAATTAAAATGAAAGAAGAAAAAAAATTAAATTCCTAATCCATTAGAATTTTATTCTGTAAATCAATGAATGTATAGAATAGAATAGAATATGCGAGACAAACAAAAAAAAACTAAAGAATAAAAGCCGATTTTTTTTTGCTAAAATCTTAAATTTCAGAATTAAGAAAGTTTTTCATTCAATTTTTCAAATTAATTGATTTTTCCTTTCATTTTTTTATCGGATTTTATTGGTTCATGGAAAACATTACTTATTTTTTTTAATAATGATCATCCAATATTGGGCAGAATTTCACTCCCCCAAAAAAGAATATAATTCCAATCAAACTATCATTATTGTTTCTTTCAATAATAGAAAAAAAACTGAAAGACTGAATCCCCAGAAAAAAAACATCATCATCTTTGATTTATAATCTAGAAAAATCATCTTTCAAAAAAAAAAAAAAAAAGAAAATGAAAATCATGATAAATTTCTTCTTCTTTTTTTTCTATTCATATACTTGAAACTTTTGTCACATTGTGAAAAATAAATTGGAATTCATTCCACTAAGTAAGATTCTTATGTTTGATTTTTATCAAGAGAGAGAGAGAGTCCTTTATACAAATATTCTATAATGAAAAAGAGGGGGTAGTAAAATTGCAAACAAGCAAACAAAAAAAATATATGAAGAAGCTTAGCTGATTGGAAAGTTGTGTGTAATAATAATAATAATGTGAAGAGCAGAGGAAAAAAAACTAAAGATGCTCAAGATGTTTCAATATATTTACTAAATGATGTTCCAAGTTTCAATGAAGTGTTAAATTGCTTTTTCTTCTCTCTCTCTCTCCCGCTTTCTTATTCTATAGTCACTTTAATCATTCATTCATCACATCAAAAAGAACTGTTGATTGAATATTTTTTTTCATATTTCATTTTTTTCCTGATTTGAAAAAATTTCTATTTTTCATTTTTTTCACGTAAATATTTGCCACAATCAACAAAATTAATGTCGAATGTTTTTTTCCTGTTTTCATAGGAAAAAACTTTATCAAATCTCTCAAGACACAAACGACAAATTCTACTTTCTATTTTTTCAAATTATTCAAAGAAAAACAAATTTGAATTTGAATTTACATTGAATACTTTTTTTCACAAATTTGAAAATCTGAGATATATTGAAAGATTTTCTTTGAATAGATCATTATTTGTGAATTTAATTAAATTGTAATCTAAATTCTTGTATTTTGTTGTTGTTGTTAAACTCGAACATTTTTTTCAAGAATTAGAAAAAAATCTGGAAGTAAATGCTAAAATAGGAACAAATTCTTTCGGGAAAAAAAACTAGATTGAACTAAAATGACTATTATCATTGAACGAATTCGAATGAATACACAAACATAAAATACCAAATAGCTTTTCCCGTATTGCATTCTATTAATATGATAGATTCTATGTCCATTTGTCCATGTGTGTGTGTGTGTTTTATATGCAAACTTTTACATAGGCAAGATTAATGCTATAGTTGCAAAATGTTTATCATGTAAATTAAGTTACTTATGGAAATTCTTCTTTCTTTTTTTGCCATTCTTTCATTGTCTGTTCTTTTTTTTTTGTTTTTGTTTTGTTCTGTTTTACTTTTATTTTCTCTGTGTTTTTTTATTATTATTATGTTATATGGAAAGAAAACATGTTCCACACACACAAAACACCATTACCAATGAACAACAACAACAACTATCTTCAATGATTTTCATTAGTGTGATTGAAAAAAATACGAAAGAAATGAACCAGAAAATTGTCGTATTCCATTTGATTCCATTGAATTCTATCTGCATATATTTTTATTCTATGTCTATGGATGGAACTTGATATTACAGAATGTTTGGTTGGTGATATGAATGAATGGATTTTATCCTGACTTTATTTTCTATTCCATTCATTGACGAATTACTTATAATGATGGAAAAAATACAGCTGTTGCCTGTATGCTTATGTGCCAAACTCATTCAATTCATTTCTTTCCATTTTCTGTTTTCCATTTTTTTTTTATTTTAATATTGAATTTTTTTTTCTTTAAATCACTGTAAATCGCAATACCACCATCATCATCATCATCATTTTTTCATGTAGTTTATGTTTGGATAAAAAAAAATTTCAGCTCAATATTCTGGCTTTCACATAATCCACTATACTAATAATAATAAATAAGCATTTGGCTAGACCAAAAGAATATTCTATTTCCTGGCTACAAATCATTATTATTATTCAGTCAAATATTTTCTTTATACTTAATATTTTTTTGAATGGATATTTTATTTTGTAATTTTCATTTTGTTTATCCACAGTTTTCTTTTCTTCAATTCAGATTCAAATTTCAGATTCAGAATCAGAGAGAAGAAGGAAAAACTGGGCCGACCAACAAAGGTTGAAGACTGGAACTACATTTCTTTTAGAGAAAATTCCATTTTTTTTTACTCTCATCAGGTTTACCAAGTTTTTATTCTTATTTGGATCAAATCTATTTCCTATTCAAAAAGAATATATTAGGCAAAAAGAATAGGAATAAATTTCCGGTATCATAAGCAATAGAATAGGATATCAAAATGAAAAAAAAATCAAAATGATCATTTCAAAATAAAAAAAAGAAAGAAAAGAAATAAGAAATCACGATAAAGAGAATACAGAACTGAAAATGGAACACCAGCGAATCCAAATATAAGCTAATAATAATAATAATAATAACTCTGAATGGAAATCAAAAACTACTTCATTTTACATTAAAAGTATGATAATAGTTAATAGTTTTTCTCTCTCTCTCCCTTTGCGATGATGTTATTTTCAATTGCTATTTTTGTTTTGTCAGATGCATCGAATTAAATTGTTCCAAAATGTACGAATCTTCTTCTGTTTTTTACAACATTTTGTTGTCGTTTTAGACCATAAAAAACCAAGTACAATGACAACAACAATATTGGAATGATATTATATAACATCAAACAAAATGTGGATACTCAAAATAATCATTTTCTTGTTTGTACAGAAATTTTCTTGTTTTGGACAAAAAAACTTCTTCTTTTTTATCTTATTCGATTACAATTCGAATCTTTTTTTTTTGTTTTGTTTAAATGACAGAACTTTTTAAAGTTGATGATGATAATAATATCGATGAAAAAAATTGTCATTGAAAGTTTTAATCCGATGAAATTGTTGATAATCACAAAGATTTAGGTGATTCAAAATATATGCTCACTAGATTGGCTATTTCGACATAGTCAGGTAATTTGTTATGAAAAAAAAGAATCGAACGAATTTTACATGTTGTATAACATGATTGATTTTGTGATCTTTCTTCGTTATTATCATACTTGTTTTAGTTTGAATATAATGATTTTGTCGTTCATATCGATTTGATGTAATGTGTAATTCTTGGAAAGATTATTTTCATTTATCATTCCAGGAATGTTTTCATCAACAACGATATTAAAAAAAAACAAACATTATTTACAGAATTTACCGTTCATGATGATGTAACAACGTTGACAACAACAACAATAATAATAAAAATTATTTATATTGCATTCATTTTTTTTAACTTCAATGTTTGTCTGGTAACAATCATTATCCAAGAATTTTGATTATCTTTTTTTTTGTTCATTCAATTCTGTTGTTGTTGTTGATGATGATGATGTTTGTCATTTTCCAAAATTGAATATGTGAATGGTTGAAAAATTTGTTCATACAAAAGAATTCCACAAAGAAACCTCACATCCCACATCTCGGCTAAAGAAAAATCAACAACAAAACAAAATTTCAAAAAAAGCATAGAATATTCTTTCCTGGTCGGTGATTTTCATTGTTGATCATAATGATGATGATATTTGTTTTTTTTGTTGTTGTTGTTGTTGAATGAAATTGTCATTCATTTTAATAATATGTAAAACATTGTTTTTCTTTTAACTTTGTGCATCAAAAAGAAAAAAAATCACAAAATTCTCTTGTTGATGATGATTGTGATTGTGATGTTAGATGTTTATATTCTGGCCAGATTCTTTTCTTGATTTGCTCAAATTTCTACAATTTTATTTCCATTTTGGATAAAAAAAATTCTGATTTTTTTCAGTCTTTTGCCATTACCGACTATTTTGTTTTGTATTTTGTCTAGTACAAATGATTTCTTTCAAATGGTCATCCACTTTCTTTCCATTTGTTATGAAAAAAATCGTTCTTGGTATAGGTGGTTCATTATCATTCACCATCTGACTTTGGTTTTTAAATTCCTGTCTACTATAGTTGTCATTACTTTTATTATTGTTTCTTTTCCTGTCAAACACACAAACACATAGATAGTTTTATTTTTCAGAATTTCAATATCTTAGAAACCTTTAGGCCATTGCCATTCTTTTCATTTTTTTGTTGTCTCTGTTCATGTGTGTGTGAAAAAAGTGTCAACGTCAATATTGGTTACAATTTTGTTGTTGTTGTTGTTTTTTTCCAATTTCATTTTCATTTCAAATTCCACATGATACACACAAATGATATGACAGATAATGTATGAGGAAACAAACAAACAATCAACAGAATTTTCTTTAATTTTTTTTCATCTTATTTTTTTCGGTAATGCCAAATGTTCAAAGATGAACAAAAGTAACCCAAAAGAGAATTCCGTTTTCTCATTGTTTTTTTGTTTTGTTTTTTTGTTTGTTAGTAAATGGAAAAAAATAAATTGCAATTTCTAATTTCATTGTTTTTTATTTTCTCTTTCTTCCTTTTAAAAAATAAAACATTCTGTATTCTGTAGCCAATTCGTATTATTCAATCTTATTATCGTTATTTTTTTTTCATTTTATTTTCAAGAAAAAAGTTGTACACACTCACACACACACAACAACTACGAGATGCGGTGTGAACACCCAATTATATTCGTTCGTATTTTTTGCCCTTTCCAAAAAAAAAAGTTGATTTGTTTCGAAATTGAAATTCTGCAATTGAATTCCAAATCTAATTCAATTCATTCTTCATTTAACTTTTTTTTTTTATCAACATCTTTATTATTATTATTTTCATGTAATGTTCATTAAAATTTATTATTCTATTCAACGCACACAAACTTGTATAATTATTCAATTTCATTTTCGATTGGAACAAAGAAGTGAATTGTTGAGAATTTTTCCATTTTGTTCAATTCTTACAAAATGATGATGAAAGTTTTATTTTTTTTTTCTTCGCTCTCTCTTTCTCTTATCTTTATTAGTTTCACTTTTTTTTGATTATTTTTTGTTATCTTTTTTTTCTTATTAGTTTAAAGTTCTTAATGAATATTGTACATCATTAAAAAAAATCTGTATTCGTGGTGAACCAGGACCGCCTGGACTTAAAGGAAATAAAGGCAAGTTGTCTGTGTGAATAAATGACAAAAAAAATAATAATAATTTTTTATCATCATTAAATAAAGGTGATCGTGGTTTGGATGGAATTGATGGGTTACCCGGTGAACCTGGTCTAGAAGGAACACCCGGTCGTGATGGTGTTGATGGGCGTCCAGGTGTTCCTGGTGCACCAGGTAAATCTGGGACTTCAGGTAATTTGATTTATTTTTCCGTTTTGAATAATGATGATGTTTTTTTTTTTAAAAAAAAAAACATTCAATTTATTCTTTACTTTCTTTTCTTTGATTATTTTTTACAGGAAAAAATGGAACCGATGGTAATGTTTACTTGAGTCTTGTTTTTGTCATTCTTGTAATTTGATTTATTTTTTTTTTCGAAATTTTAATCTTCTTTTTCGTCTTGTTCTTGAAAACTTGAAGGCGAAAAAGGACAAAAAGGTGAACCCGGATTGAATGTAAGTAATGTTTGTTAGATTTTGTAAATGTAAAATAAATATATTCGATTATCGTTGAATCAAATGATCATCTTTAGTTTTATTTTGTTGACAAAGAGAAAAAATCAATTAATTTTATCAATTTTCGTTGTTTGTTTATTTTTTCATTTTGCCAATTTTTTCTCGACAAAACAAAAAACAGGGAAATCCTGGTAAGTAAACTTTGTTTTTTTTCTTGTGTTTTGTAATTTTCATTTTGTTGATCATTAAATTTGATTCCGTTCAATTTTTTTTTCTTCTTGTTAAAATTCTTGTTGAAAATTGATCGATTTTTTTTTGGGAAATTTGTCTCTACAATAATGAACAAAAACAAAAACATCTCTTCAAATCAATCATTTTTATCATTATTTTTTTGTTTCATTTCTTGCATCGAATATTCTATTCCTTTCGAATATGTAACCTTCAGGACCTTCAGGTAAATGTTTTGTTTTGTTTTCATCTTTTTTTTCCAGTAAATCATCATTATTATAATGAAAATTTTTCCATTTTTTCACCACATTTCTATCACCACCAATAGGTTCAAAAGGAAAACGTGGTCCACCCGGTCAAGATGGTAAGTTTTTTTTCTTTCTATATATAAACATTTTTCATTTTTGGTTTCCGGGTGTGTGTGTATGTGCGTGCAGGAAAACCTGGTATAACGGTACAAGCTTGGCATCATCAAAATGATACCTTGTTAAGTAAGTTTTTTTTTTATTTCAGTTTAACATTGCATCCATTAGTCAATTATTTTTTAGTGTTGTCATTATTGTCGTTGTTGCTGCTGTTATATAATGATTTATTCGATTTTCATTTCTTATTTATTGTTGTTGTTGTTGTTGCTTCACAGTTGCACCAATAATCGATCAGATCAATCCATCTACACAGACATTAACTGTACGAGAAAATGAAAAGATACGTTTAAGCTGTGTAGCAAGTGGATATCCAAAACCAAAAATTACATGGCGTCGTGATGATGATCGATCAATTTATTTGGATGGAATTTCTCGTATGTATCATGATCAATATTATTATTATTATTATTATTATGTTAGCAATAAACGAAGAAACAAAAAAAACGACAAATGTGAAACAATAAAGATAAATGAAGAAAAACTAATTTTATCATTATCATTATTATTATTGTTGTTGTTATTTTTTTGTTGCTCCCTTGATAATGATAATGATAATAGTGGTTTTTCATTTCTAATTGGATATTGATATTACTTTTTTTGTTTCATTGATTTCTATTTTTATTTTTCGTTGATATTTTCTTTTCCGTATTACAATAAAGATAATTTAATCGAATCCAATGAGCTAAATATTAGTCAAGTTAGCCGTGACAATTTCGGTTCGTATTTGCTATTTTTTTATATGATTATTATCAAATCAAAAATTAATTGATAATTTCCTATTGCTTTTTTATTATTATTCTCGAAACAATTCAATTTGATTCGAAAAGGACCATATAGATGCGTTGCTACAAATGGAATTCCTCCGGCTGCTTCACAAAGAATCAATTTATTAGTCACCTGTAAGTTTTGTTTTCGAACAATTTTAATTGAACCATTTATTCTGTGAAACATTTTATATAGATTGTAATTTTCGATACACTAAATTCTTATTAATATTTTTATTCCGGTTCAATTATTGACTTGATAATTTCTATGATTTTTATTGTTATTGTTATTATTAGTTCCACCATTAGTAAAAATTCTTCTACAAAAACAAATGATCGGTACACGAAAAGGTTCATGGGTTGTATTAGAATGTTATATTGAAGCATATCCTGAACCATTTGTCGATTGGATTTATGGTGATGGTCAGATTATTGTTGAGAATGAAAAATTTAATAAATCGGAAGAAATTCTTGAATCACGAATTTCACATTCAATAAGTCGTCGTGTTATGTTGAACATAACAAATGTACAGAATGAAAATCTAGGTCTTTATAAATGTTTGGCACGTAATCAACTTGGACGAACATATGGAATTATTACACTATATGGTTTGTTGAATTTTTTTTTCTTAGAAATTTTTAAACGGCTTTTTAATATTTTTTTTTAACAACCAGAAACGGATAGTAAAACGGCAACTAATACGATCGGATCGTTGGATAAATCCATTGAATCGTTAAAAGAAGAATCATTTGTTGTTTATGGTGAGGTAAGTAATATTTTCTTATGTGTGTTTTTTTCGTTATGAGTATAAGTTTGATCAAAAATAAAATGAGGACATTATTTTTCTATTCATTTATTTATTTATTTTTGTTGGCCAAATAAAAAATAATAGCTACCAAAACCAATTGAAACGAAAATTCCCTGTGCACCATGTCCAACATGTACAACATCAACAAATCCATATGCATCAATACAACAACAATGTAAACAAGGTCAGCGACCTGAAATTATTAACATGGGCGTTTCAGTAATATTCAATCATACAAATATGCAACGAATAACTAAACGTAATGATGGTATGGAATTTTTTTTTGTTTGTCATTTTTATTTATTATTATTTGTTCTGATATAATTCTCATCGTTCATCATTATCATTTTGTATCGAAAAATGTTGATTTGTTTTCTTATTCGATTTCTTTCTTTTTTTTTCTTTCATTTCTTTTCGTTGTTATTTTTTTGGTTGTCCCAATAGAATGTCATTTAAGCCAAATTGGTAAACCAGTATTCTATGGTGAACGTTCTGATCAGATCGGATGTTGGATGCGTGATCCAAATCCTATTCGTCCTGAAGATGGTGAAAAATATTGGCTTACACGTATTGAATATAATAGATTATTGGAAGAATATGATACAAAAGAAATGTTTCGCAATAGAATTATAACAAAAAATTATACATTATTATATCCGTTTGCCGGCAATGGACAGGCAATAAATTCGGGTATATTCTATTATGCCGAACAAGGAACATATAAGCTGATTATGTTTAACATGTATAAATCCGAATGGGAATTTATCAACCTGGAACCAAATCCAATGGCAATCAACGTTGGCCTAAATATTGGACGTTCACCATCATCATTGTTGCCGCCTTTATCATCATCATCATCATCAAAAAATAAATTGCCAAGACATGTACACCACTATCATAAACATCAACATCATTATCAGCAACAACAACAAAAACATCACAATAATCGACAACGGCGTAATCAAAATGTTGACAATCAACCAAATGAACATAATAATGTTTTAGATGATGATAGTAGTAATGATAAAAGAAAATTATTATATACAAATCAATTAAATTATATGGATATTTCAGTGGATGAAAATGGTGCCTGGGTTATTTATCCAAACATTTACAGTGAGCTTAATAATACGATCATTATGAAATTCAATGCTACACGTATTGAATTTATTTGGAATTTAACGGTTGATTATAATAAATTAGGTGAAACATTTATTATGTGTGGAATATTATATGGAATTGATTCAACACAACAATTACATACACATATTGCCTTTGCCTATGATCTTTATAAAAATGTTGAACTTAAACATTTTGAACAAATTGAATTTACAAATCCATTCATGAATACAACATATGTTGGTTATAATTCTAAACATCAAACATTATATACATGGGATAAGGGTAATATTTTGGAATATTTACTTAAAATTGAAATGATTGCCAAAACAAAACAACATCAATTCAATAATAAAAATGATGATGATAATATTCCAATAAATTCTGAACATAATGATGATGAAAATGATGAATCATTATCATGAAATGAACAACAACAACAACAAAACTTTTCCATTTATAAGTGTACTTATTGATTTTTTTTGTGTTATTGTTTCTTTATTCCAATGAATTACATCCATCTGTACAAACATTACACACCCACAAAATGAATTAATTGATTAAATGAATTTTTTTTCAAAATAAAACAATTAAAATGAATGAAATAAATAAAAAGCAATATTCTGAATTTTTAAACTTAAACTTGGCCTTTTTCTCGTTGTGTTTTTTTTTTGTCTAGTTCACTAATATCATGGTTGATATAAGCCAAATGATGACATTATTTGAGTGTTAATGTTATGTTGTAAATTTATCAATAATATCACACAGGCATTGATTAATCGGATTGATAATTTTTTTTTTTGGTTGCATCAACGTTTTTTTTAAAAAAAAAAATCATATTAATAAAAAATACAATGTAAAATTGAATGTGTGCCATATTGATATGATTGATATTGAATTTCCTCTGAATTGATACCATTTATCATTCGTTTGGTTGTTTTACAAAAGTGAGTGTACTTTGTCGTTCACATTGCTACTGCAATTTTTGAAAAAATTTTAATCAAATTCAATTAATAATGTAATTGAATAAATGATTATTCAATGTAAATGCAAAATAATTTAAAAAAATTAAAAGGAAATATGACGTTTACAAAATTTGATTCGCTTTAATATCGTTTTCGTTTCTCAAATTTCATTTCATAGGAATTTCATATTTCTAAATACTTGTTACCACTAGTTGAATGATATTGATTGTCTCATATTTTTGATCATTGATTCGGTACATCGTCATAATTGTCATAATCAATATGAATAAAATTCATGATACAAATGGTACCAATGACAAAAAAAAAAGAAAGAAAAGAAAAGCAAATTTTCGATGACGATTGATGATGAGAATTATCATGGCCTTCATATAATTGTTGATTTGCTATTTTTTCGTTGTTGTATATCGACAACGTGGACTGCTACCACAACGGTTCATTTATTATTGGTTGGATTTTTTTTTCGCATCCATCCATCCATCTTTCTGTACTTTTTTCTTATTTTGAATGCAAAAGGAACACGTAGAACCATTCATTCATTCATTCATTCTTGTCATTTTTTTTATTGCAACCAATTTTCCATGTGTGCCTTTATGTTTGTTTTTTTGTTGTTTGAATGGTGATGATGATAATATGTTGGAAGTGATGAACAAACGATAAATGAGTAAATCTGTTTATGTCAATGTTTATCATATATGTCTGTGTGCGTATGTTCATTATATTGTATGTTTTGATGATAATTATAAAAACTCTCTCTCTTTAACTATCTATCTTTCGCTATCTGTATATGATAACTATCCAAATCTAAAGTAAATATTAATCATTTTGTTACCAATTTTTTTTAAATGAAGAAATGAAAAAAATAGATTCAGAAAAAATAATAAATTTCCCCGTTTCAACAAATCCAATCATTTGATTATCGTTCTCTTCATACTTTCATTTTCTTTTTTTAAAAGTTTATTCAAATCATTGTTTTATCGAACAAAGTTTTTTTTTTGAATTTTAAATTAAACTTCGAATTCGGTTTTTTAACATTCGGTTAATCCTTGTTGTTGTTTTGAATTCCAAAACAAATTCCAGTTATTATCAGTATTTTCAATATTGGAATTTGAATTTGAGCTGAAAATTAAGTTCAACTAAAAAACACAAATCATTATAATGTCGATGAAAATATTGAAATTGAATCGTTTATTTCGGTTTTATGGCCAACAAAATGCTAAATTATTGACTACAACATTTCCAACGGCTGAATATATAATAAACGGTAATAATAAACGTAATGTTACTACCGATTTATTTACATCCGAATTTTTACCGTAAGTTTTCTAATTAGTATTCATTTTTAATTCATGTGTAATTCAAAAATTCATTTTAAATATACAAGTACAAATGTACCAAATGAGTTGCTGTACTCTAAAAGTAGAAACTTTTTATTTCCTTTTGCTAATGTTCACAAATTTTTTTTCCACAAAATTTTTATTTATAATCATTATTATATCATTAATCAATTAGGCCATATGTAAATTTACCCTATTCATATGCATTTGGTCGTAGTCTAAATCATATCCTTTATAAAACGGTTGGCAATTGTTTTGATGATCGTTTAAAAATTGGTAAGTTTTGTGATTAAAGCATAGGGGAAAAAAATTTTATCAGTAAATAAATTAAGAATGGAAGATAAACAAATAGTAACTAATTAACTATTTATTTATGTAATGTATTTAAAATAATAGAAAATGGACAACCAGTAATTGTAAGCCATCATGAAAATATTCAGAAAACTTTTTCGGAATTCTATCAAGATGTTAATCGATTAGCTAAAGCAATGTATGAACATATTGGCATCAAAAGAGGTGATGTTGTAGGTCTTTGGAGCTGTAACACTTATGATTGGGTATGATATAATGATATTTCATTATCATTGACTTTGATTTTTGATTTTGTTTCAATTTGATTTTAACTTTATTTGAAACATTATGATACGGCTGGCTGAAAATGAAGATTGTCATACAATATGCATGTTTTCGTATCGGAGCTGTCTTATGTACTGTCAATCCATTTTATCAGACATATGAGCTTGATTATGCAATACGTAGAGGCAAAATGAAAGCATTATTTATGCCAGGACATAAATCACAACAAGATATTGTTAATCGATTTTCATCAATCATGATGAAAACGTTGAACATGGAAGAGAAAAAGGATGATGATAAAGTATGTGTTTTATTTCTATTCTATAATTAATCAATCGTTATCGTTGTTATCTATTTCGAATCAGATACCATTTCTTCTTGAAAATATTGTAACAATGGATGGCGATACTTTTAATGATTTGAATTCATCAGTTAAAAATAATCGTAATATTCGTGTTTTGGAATTAGAAAAATTGAAACAACAAACTGGTGAACTAGATTCATCTATAACAAATTTGGTTTTACCGGATGATCCGGCTGTAATAATGTTTACATCGGGTACAACTGGTCGTCCTAAAGGTGCATGTCTATCACATTTCAATATAGTAAACAATTCAAAAATGTGTGCATATAGAGCTGGTGTAAAAGAAAATTCAATTTTCTGTGTTCCGTTACCTTTTTTTCATGCATTTGCCGGTATTCTTGGAAATTTAATACCGATTGCATCGGAAACTGGTCGATTATTAATACCATGTTTAAAATATGATGTTAGACAATTAGCACGATCAATTTCGGAACATAATGCCACACATTTGTTGGCGACACCAACATTGGTAATAGATTTGTTAAATTATCTTCGTGATAATCAACTTCATGTACCTACATTATGCGAAGTATTGGCTGGTGGCGCTTCGATGCCGATTGAAGTTGCATATCAATTTATGGAATTTGCACCCAATTGTAAAGTACGTGTAGCATATGGAGCCACTGAAACATCACCGTGTGCAACAACATATTCTGTTAATTCAACAGTTGAAGAATCAATTGAAACGGTCGGTTCACCTCTGGATTTTGTTGAAATTAAGCTAGTTAATCCGAAGACAAGACAAATTGTTAAAATCGGTGAGACTGGTGAATTACACTGTCGTGGTCATGTTATCATGTCAGGTTATTGGTCTGAACCGGAAAAAACAAAAGAATCCATTGATGAAGCTCATTGGTATAATACAGGGTATGATTATGCTTTAGATGATTGTTTTGAAAATCTTATATCTTTTAACATTTCGTAAATTCAAAAATTAGTGATTTGGCTGTTATGACTGAAAAAGGTTTAATAAAAATTATTGGTCGTACTAAAGAATTGATCATTGTTGGCGGTGAAAATGTTTATCCTCGTGAGATTGAGGAAATTTTATACACTCATCCGGCTGTCGAAACTGTCAATGTAGGTTTTTTTTCTCATTTATACATAATAGATAATTTGAATTGATAATTTCAGGTTATTGGTGTACCAGATCAACGTAAAGGCGAAGAAATCTGTGCATGGGTACAGCTACACAAAAATGTTCAAGCTACTGAAGATGAATTACGAGAATTCTGTAAAGAACGAGTAAGTCAATTTTTGAAAAAAAAATTTATCAAGAAGTATTTATTCTAACAAATTTATTTCCTTTTTTCCCTTGATATCAAATATAATCATCTCCAACATATAAATAAAGCTGACATATTTTAAAGTTCCCAGATATTTCTTATTTGTCGATTCATATCCGATGACACCGACCGGAAAAGCTCAAAAATTCATAATGCAAAAAATGACGATTGAAAAATTGAATTTACAAACCAAATGAGCACACAAAAATGTCTATTGGGGGTTCTACCTAATCAATAATGAAAAAAAAATCTGGAATAATGAATTTTGTTTTACAATTTTTATCACTTGTCAATCAATCTGAAATATTGGCGTCATTATTCTATGAAAATAAAACCGGTGTTTTATTGTCCAAGATAGAAATGTCATCACTATTGTTATTTCCATTTTTGTAATTTTTTTCAAAATAAAAAAAAACATGAGAATTTGAAATATATTAAAATAATAGAATCTATTGCAATTATTTTCAATTAATTAGTTAATTATTGATGATCAGTAAAAATATGAATAAATTTAAAAACAAATCAAGCTGAATAAATCAATATATAATCGAGATAAATAATTGACACACCTGGATTTAAAAATCTGATTTCATCATAGAAACAATGAATGAAGGCCAGATTTTTTTCAAATATTTAAATTTTTTTCGATTGATCATCAATATATTGATCAACATTGACAATCGATCATTTTTTTTTTGCTTTACGATATCGGTGACAAGAGTATAAATTTTTTTTTTTTTTTGGTTCATTTGCTTATGAATATTTGTTTTGTTTAAAAGGCCACATAAGCTATTAAAAAATTTTAATTTTGAAAGATAAAATTCATGGGCAATGTTTTTTAAAATTTTGTTTAAGAAACAACATTGATCAACATAAACGATTACTGTTCAAATTTTATCAATCATCGCTAAAAATAAAAGCCATAAAAAAATAAATTTCCAATAATTTGTTTCATTTATCAATTTTTATTTTATTTAGGTTTTTTATTCTTAGGTGACAAACATTGTCACCAAAAAACAAAACAAAAGAAATATTTTCTTTTCGTGATTTGAAACGAATTAGCCAGCAAGCCAACCATCACGTTTGCCGTTTCATTTTTTTTTCACCATTTCATTGTGTATACCAAAAATAAATCTATATTTTTCAGGTTAATTATCGTCAATTTTTTTTTTCATATACTTCAATCTGAATTTCCTTCAATTTATTTCTTCCAATAGTAAATTTATCCTTTTTTTGGCATTGTTTTTCTTTCGTCTTTTCGTCGTTCCAGTATAATAGCAACAAAAAAAACGAAACAAAGAAAATCAAATCTGAAAAAAATGTCGATCAAAAATGTAATTTCAAGTGATCGACACATTTTGCCCAATGGATATAATCATCATCATCATCATGATAATAATGATGAAAGCGGTAGTAAAGATTCAATTATTGAAGAGAAAAAATTACAACAATCTGACAATGGTGTTGAACAACAACGTGATCAATGGGGTGGACAGGTTGAATTCCTATTGGCTTGTCTGGGAAATGCCGTCGGTTTGGGCAATGTATGTAAATTGTTTTCTGGGTTTGTTTTCTGTTCTATATGACAATTTTTCCTTACTTTATTAAATTTTCATCATCAAAATTGATTCATTGTTGACCAAATTTATCCAGTGTTGGCGATTTCCATATTTATGTTACAAAAATGGAGGCGGTATGTGTATTATTGTTTTTTTTCTCAATCAAGTTTTTAACATTATTGAAACGAAAAAAAAATTCCATTAAAAATTCAGGTGCATTTCTTCTGCCATATCTAATCTGTTGTCTTATAATTGGTTTACCATTATTTTTGATTGAATTGGGTTTGGGACAATTTTCTGCTATGGGCCCTGGGCAATTATGGGCAAATCTGTCTCCATTATTTCGTGGTGTTGGTCTTGCATCAATTATTTCGTCATCTATTGTTGCCATCTATTATAATATGATTATTGCATGGACATTGTTTTATTTTGTTCAATCATTTTTTGGTCAAAATTGGCAAAGATGTACAAATTGGTTTAACACTGAAAGTACGTATAACAATAATAATAATAATAGATCATAGCAAACACTAACAATAAAAAAAAGATGCGAAACTTTCAAATATTCAAATTAATCAAATATTGTTTATTATCGTAGATTGTCTTTCAATACTCGACAACGATAATAATATTACTAATTATCGATTTAATGTTTCTCATACAAATGCATTTGTTTCATCTAATCATTCAATTTCATCCACTGAAGAATTTTTCAAGTAAGTTTACTTTTTTTTCCTGTATATGTTAGAAATTATTCATTAAATGGTATCATCATCTTTGATAATAATAATGCCATTAATCTTGAATGTTGTTATCTTATTATTATTTTTCCATTTTGTTCGTCGTCAGTTTAACATTTTGTATATGAATGAATGAAAGAAAAGTGAAATATTTATTTCACCACTAATTACAACTATCATTAAAATGAAATTAATTTTTATTTTCTTGTTGAAATTTCTCTACGCTTGACAGCAATTATGTTCTAATAAAATCTACCGGTATAGACGATATGACCCAAATGAATTGGAAATTAGTGGCTGCATTATTCATTTCATGGTGTATTGTTGCACTTGCTCTAATTAAAGGCATACAATCATCCGGTAAAGTTGTTTATTTTACGGCCACATTTCCTTATGTTATTTTAGCCATATTATTGGCACGTGGTTTAACATTACCCGGTTCATATGATGGTTTAAGATATTATCTAATGCCGAATTGGAATCGAATATCTGATGTTGATGTTTGGCGTGATGCTGCCGTACAGGTATTCTATAGTTTTGGTATCGGTTAGTATTGTTAACTATTAAACATCTTTCTTTTCAATTACAATTATTATCATTATTATTGTTTGAATCTAAAAATATTTTTTATAACAAATCTAATTTCGTTTTTTTTGATTATTATTTTATAAATAGGTGGAGGCGGTATGATAACATATGCTTCATATAATCGGTTCCACAATCCGGTGGTAAGTGATTCATTCGTACAATTTTTTTGCCAGCAAAAAGAAATCTTTGTTCTGATTTTATTTTTCTTTTGAAAATGAGATTTGTATAGCAGTTTTCTTTATCCATTCGGTATCATTGTGTTGATTTATATATTTTTTTCTGTCCCCCTATTCACTATAGATTGAAAAGAAAAATTAAAATGTCAGATTAGATTTTGTTTTTTAAATGAAAGTGCTTGTTATAATGTTCAACCGAATCATTGCAATTTAGTTTTGATATCATATCATAAATGAAATTTATTTTATTGTTGTTGTTGTTCGTAGAAAAAGAATTACAAGAATTGTATGGAAACGATTGAAAGAATTATATGAGATTGGTTATAATGAATTTTTAGTGTTGCAAACAAAAAAAGTTGAACAATAATATAATGTTGATGAGAGAACAAAAACAAAACAATACAATAACCGAACTAATGCTAACCGAGCGGTTTGAAATCAAAAATCAGTTCATATTTGTTGTTGTTTTCGTCTATTTCCTTTGTCCAAATAGTTGGTTTTTGTTGAATAATTAATGTTTTTATTTTTTTCGTGTTTTGTTCTGGTTTTTCATTTAATTTCCTTCCTTTTTTTTTGTTCAAATAAATGTTTGTGTGTGGGTGTATCAATATATGATATCGTAACCGGGCGACAATGACCACTATTGAAACAATTTTTTCCTGCATGTTTGTTCAATTCTGGTTTTGGATTGGGAAAAAAATATAAAAATTTTTTTGAAAATAAAAAAAAATCTTTTGTACAGACTAAACATGCATTATTGGTTGGATTTGGTGATTTTGCTACATCGTTATTTTGTGGTGCCGTTGTATTCACTATGATCGGTTATATGGCATCAGCATTAAACAAACCAATAGAACAGATTGTACAAGATGGAGCGGGTAAGTTAGTATTTTATTTTTATTTTTATTATTATTCTATCGAAAACAATCAAATTAATTGATCTAAAAACGAAAATTGATGATAAAAGATTTCGGAGATGATGGTGATCCAAAATAATTGTTTATTTTTTCACTTTGTTTATTTTTTCTTTTGTTTTTCTATTCCAAAATAAAAAACATTAAATTTTATAAGGATTGGCTTTTATTGTCATACCCGAAGGCCTTTCCCGTATGCCGATATCATTATTATGGTCGGTACTGTTTTTCACAATGTTATTTCTATTGGGTATCGATTCACAATTTGCTATGGTCGAAACAGTCATCACTTATCTGTTTGACGACATTGTAAGTACATCTTTTTTATTTTTTTTTCGACCAATTTTCTTTCTCAAATGGTAACAACACGATTATTGTACAACTGACTTTAGTTGGCTGAATTATTTATTTGAAATTTTGTAGCATTTTCGAAGCAAACAACAACAAAAAAAATTGTTCCAAAATAATCGTTACTTACATTTAATTTCTTTTTGGCTGTTGTTTCAATTTCATTGTCATTTTCTCTTGATCGTTTTTTTTTGTTTATGTTATTTATTTGTGTTTGTGTGTATGTTCCAATTCGATCTTGTAATTTGTTTTCTTTTTCTTTTTTGTTTTCTTTATTTTATTCCATTTGAACATGCGCACAATATATAGCGATCCAAAAAGATCAAAGTCAACAAACCATTGGTAGTCATATTGACATCTTTCGTTTGGTTTATTCTTGGTTTACCATTATGTACAAATGCTGGAATCTATATCTTTACAATAATGGATGAATATTCAGTTGGTGTACCATGTCTAGTGATTGGCCTATTGGAAATATTTATTGTAACATATATCTACGGTAAATTGAGTTGCTGCATCATTTTTTTTCCAATATTATTCATGAATATTCCATTTTTTATCATATAGGAATCGATATATTTTTCGATAATCTAGAAAAGATGACCAAATGGAAACCAAAGATATTATTACAATCACATTTAGTCATAATGATCACAGTCATTGCACCAAGTGTAATGTTATGGATATTATCTAAACAGTTATTTGAAACACCAGCATTAAAATATGGTTCATATCAATATCCATATTGGGCAATATGGATTGGTTGGTCATTTGCATTATTATCGATTAGTGCCATACCATTGGTAATGATCAAAGAATTATTACGTATATTATTTTGTTATGGATATTCGAAAAAAACAATCAATCAAAGATTACGAATGCTTATCAGACCTACTAATGAATGGTGGAATAACTATCATCGTATGCATGGACATGATAATGATGATACGACTATGGATAATGATATTCATAATAATAATAATAATAATAATCAAACATCATCGACTGATAGTTTTGATCTAATGATACAATCGGCATCGAATGAAACGATTAATGAAATTTCAACTAAATGTAAACAACCAATGAATGGACGTATCAATCATGCAGCTGTTACAAATGATGAATGATCAAATCATTTTCATTTTTCATACAAAGAATATTCATCAATCAAATCATCATCATCATTAATTTTATCTAATTTTTTTCGAATGAAACTTTTTTTTTCTTTAATTTTAAATTGACAAATTTTATCCAAATGACAATTGTACAGATAACAAAATTATAAAAAATTGAAATAAATTAATTAGAAAAATTTTAAATTTTTTTGTCAATTTTGATTTGAAACGTTCCGTATAGAATAATGATTGTCGAATAATCCAAAGGTCAACGAAAAACTTGATTGTTTTTCACTGATTTGATGAACTCAAGAAAAAAAAATCGTTACATGATTTTATGTCGCCAATAACAATTTGTTTGTTTGTTTATTTCGGTTAGTAAGTTAGTTTTTTACTTCTTTTCAAAAAAAATCATTAATCTTTTAAGATAGATTTAAGTCGATCATTCATTGAATGAAAATCGACACGATACGTCATCGATTATGATGATGATAATGATGATGACAACCAATAGCAGTAATTTTTGTTTCTTATTGTTTGTTTGTGTATACTGCATAAAATCTAACATTATGCAACAAGTGATCTGAAAAAAAATGTTTAATAGGTGATTGATTGTGTCATGTGTGTGTTTGTGTTTGTTCCAGATGTTTGGAACCACTGTTCATTTGGATAATAAAAAAAAACAAAAAACGTTAACTGACAGAAATTTTCATTTACACATTTTTATTCCTATGAACTATATGGTGGACACATTAAAAGGATCCTGTTAGTTTTATGTTCTTTTAGAACACAATTTGATGATTTGTAATCATCATCATAATCATCATCATAAATCGTGCAATAGGCCATCATTGTTTGCATGTCTTAGCTTGCATGTTATGTTCCACATTTGATTGGATTTTATTAATTCATTTTCAAAAAAAAACATTTGATGATGATTTTAATAAAAAAGGATGCTATACACACAAAAGAAAATCTTTAAAATTATCAAATTAAATTTCGGAAATTTGTTTATATTAGATTGAAAAATGATTTATTCACACTTCATGCTAAACGATGATGATGCTGATGATGATGATGATGAAAAGAAATTCGTTACACAAAAGTCGTAAAAATTTTCTTTAAAAAAATCGACCCAATTTTTTTTTGTATTTTTTACATTTGAATTGGTTTTCAATGGAAATGTTCAATGAAATTTCCTTTTCCATAATTTATATTGTTTTAATTTATAGATTTTTTCCACCGAAATAATATAGGTATCGTTTCTTTTTTGACATTTTTTTTCATTTATATAAATATAACCACTATACACAAACAGATTTTCCATCATTATGTCAATGTATATTGATATGAACATCATCAATCATATTGACGAACGAGAAAAGAAAGTGAATACCATTTGACCAACAACCAAACTTCATCAATATATAATAGTAAAATGGTAATAGCAACAAAAATGGTAAGATTGATTATCCAAAAATATATATCGATTTGATTGATCAATGTGGCAAGAAAAAATTGGTGAAAAAAAAGGAAAGTTAAATGAAAATGTTAATTGATTTTCAATCTCTTGTTTCTTTCTCTCTCCCTTTCATTGGTTTTTTCTCTTCTAGTTTCGATTTCAATTTTTTCTATTGTTAGCTATTATGGCTATTTCTGAATTCAATTCATTTCGAATCAATATGGTTGATGGTCGAAATTATAATGGTGAATATTGGAATCCAATTCTTGATCAACATCAATCGAAGAAAAATTCCCAACATCTGAATGATTTTCCAGTCGATCATTATTCACAATCAAATTTGATTAATTCATTTACACCCATTCATTCTGTCGATCATTATCAACCATCATTGACAATTATACCGGAATCATATCCGATTCCCATAAAAATATCGTTATTGCCTGGGCCAAATATTCCATTAAAGTCAGAATCATACAATTATCCAAGAAAACATCATCCATATATACCATGTGAACTATTAACACAACGTTTGAATGAAATTCTTAAACCACAATGGCGATTGCGATGTTCAAATCATTATCATCAACAACAGGTTAAAGATTTAGAATGGCAAGAAAAAAAGAATTATAATAATGAGAATTCTGGTCATAATATGAATCATTGGAATGGATATTTTGTTGATCCTACTCCTATAGTATATGATGAACAACATTATCATCATATTGAACAATATATGCCAAAATCATCGAAAGCGAAATCGATGATGATAATGAATCCAAGTGCAATGTATTCAAAAGAAAACGATTTAAATTATTCACTTGGTTCCGAATCAATAGCCATTGAAATGTTTAAACATAATGATGGTTATACAATACAACCCAAAAATCATAATCATCACCAAAAATATCATCATCAACAACAATATCCATATTCAGGTAAATCAAACTATGAAAATGAATCGATTATGAACAATAAACATCTTCATCATATTAATGATAAACAGCCAAAAAATCATTATTATCATAAAAGCCGTACGATTAATGATGATGGCCATAATAACAACAACAACAATGACAATCATATTGATGATCACACCACCACCACCACCACCAATCAAAATAGCGATAATCATGACCATTATATGAATAATAATAATAATAATAATTGGAACGAAAGTCAAGGCTATTACAATAACTTTAATAAATATACAAATGTTGATCATAATGACTATAGATATTATTATTATCATCATGATAATCATAGTCATAATAATAATAGTCATCATCATCATCGAAATATTACCGAATCAACAATAATGTCCATAATGACACCAACAACAACAACAATGATACCAATTATGGCAAATACTACTGTAATTCCAACTTCAATGATGAAGAGGATGCCAGAACGACAATTGATGACAAATTTTCTCAATAATAATAATCATAGTTATTGTATACTGAGAAAAAACATCACCACCACCACCACCACCGATAACAGCAACAACAACAATGAAACCATATTGAATTCTTCAACATAAGAAATATTGTTCTATGCGAATATGATTGTCACATTTCTTCAATCAAACATAATTTGATTTTATTCATTTATTTTTCAAGTTTGAGTTTGTCTGTTTTCACTATGATGAAATAATGAAAAAAAAGAATGTAAATTATAAATAAATTGGATTAATAAAAATGAAATGAATAAAAAAAAAAGAGGACAGAGAAATTTGGAGAAATTTTTTTTTGCTGTTGTTCAGTTAAACATTCATGATGTATTACATGGCGAAATAGATGAATTACAGTAAAACATGTGTCATTTCTATTGGATCAATTTTTCTTGTTGTTGATTTTTGATTTTATTTATTTGTTACCAAAAAGCAAGCGAAAACGATTGATTGTCAAATGATGATTATGATTATGATGATGATGATGAAAACAGCGGTTTATTTTCTCTGTAATAATAATGATGATCAATTTTTTTCTTTATCATTCGAAATATGGATCACAATCAATTTTCCTCATTGAAGACGCATAAGTTTTTCTCTGTATGTGATACAACGAAAACAGCAACAACAACAACAAAATTGTTCCAAAAGTTCATATTGTAAATATTATGAATGTTACATCTTCACAATTGTTGGTCAATCGTATTGATCATACGTAAATGGCGAAATAATACATTTTTTCAAGAAAAAAAATTTGAATTTTTTTGCATTCGATTTTTAGATTTTTTTATGCTTCATCGAATCCTCTTCCAAAACATAATGGATGGATACCAAAACGTTTGCTTTTTTCTTTCATTATCATTCAAAAGATTTATTGAATTCATTCAATATGTAAGGCAACAAAAAAACGGGTGGACAATTGTAATCAAATTTGTTCAAATAAAATGAAATGTCATGGATTTATTCACAAACAAACAAACAAAAAGGATTACAATCATTCATCACATTGCTTTGTTCTTTATCTTTACAAAATCATTTGTCAAAAGAAAAAAAACTGATCTCGAATGATCGATCTTATTTTTTTGAAGATGATTTTTCATTTTTTTTTTTTTGGAAAAAAAACTTTCGACTAAATCAATGAATGAATGAATTGAAAATTTGCCAATAAAGGAGAGAAGAGAGGGAGAAGAAATGATGCTTTAGATGTGGTCCGTAAAACGTTGAACATCCAAAAGATGATGATAATATAATGGAAAATTTATCGGAGGTTTTTTGTTTTTGTTTTAAATTTTTGACATCAAATGATAGAAAAGAATTGAATGGGAAAAAAGGGATGAAAATTAAACCAATTATTTTATTTTTTTGATAACAACCAAATCGGTTTTTTTCAATCTGATTACTCCATTCATACGAATAAAAGAATATTTATCGATTCGATTATAAATCAATCGAATGTATTGGAAAAAAACAAAAAAAAGTTTTGCTTTTCACTTTCAATCAATTCAATCAATCGATGATAAAGAAAATCTTCAAACAAATAACTGTCAAATTCTAGGAAAAAATAATTCAATCCCTTTTTTTCTACTTTGAATTCAATCTCTTTTTAAATCTATCACAGATTTTCACTTGCACATCCGAATTCACTATCTTTTTTATATGATTATTATCCGTTGGACAAATGTTTATATTTTTTCTTTTTTCTTTTTTTCAGATGCTTCAGAATTGAATTTTCTCAATCTCCTTTCGATGACTGGTCCATCCCAATAGTTGTCAGTTTTTTAGTGCATGTTTTTTTTGTTGCTTTATTCTTTCATATTCACTTAAACTTGATGATGATCATTATGATCATCATTGAAATCATATTTTGTTTATGATCCATGATGATAACAACAAGAACAAAAAAAAATATAATAATAAGATTGGCGCCTCCAGTGTCAGTCGATTAAGATGCGTTAAAAAACATCAATGTTTTTTTCTTCTCATTTCTTTTTCTCAAATAAATTTTCTGACTTTAGAACATTTAAGAACATAATAGATTTACGATGAATGACGCCTTCTATTTTATTTTTTCCTACCAAACAAGAAAAAAAATGAATAGAATTATCCTTATATAGCGAAAATAATTTGATTAACTTATTATCATCAATTTTTTCGTTCACCCATATCATCCGTTATTTATTTTGAACAAAAAAAATTAACTGTACAAACTGAAGAATATTATTGAATAAATCGGTTAGAATGTATATGATGGTGAAAAAAAGATTGAAAAATTCAGAACAAAAGCCAAAACAAAAGCAGGAAATATTTAGTAGAAAAAGAAAATTGATTATAATCTCATATTCAACAATAATCAAAAGGATTTAAAATGAAAATTGAACAAATGAAATGAAATGCTGAAAAGATAAAGTTTTTTTATATATGATTTGTTAAAATATGAATCACATTTAATATATAGATTTTAGATATAAAACAATTACATTAAATATTTCCATTATATAGAAAAAAATGAATAAACAGGATTCAACTTAAAAAAAAACATTACCGGAAAGTAAAAGCAAACTTTCTGTTTGCTTGTTTCATGTTTGAATAATCATCATTCAACACAAATAAAAGACTAATTTGATGAAATGAAAAACAAAAAGATAAGAACAATTAGAAAACCAACAACGACAACAATGTATTGATATGAAGAATGATAATTTATTCGTTTTTCAAGTTAGATATAAATCAAGCCATTGAAAAAGTTTATTAGAATTTTTTGAGAGCAAAAAAAAGAATTATTTTAAACATTTTGAAAATTAGCTGAAATTAGACGATTTTCTTAATTTTCTTTTTCAATTCTTAATCATATTGAATAAAGACCGAATAAAAAAAACAACAACAAAAATAACCTGGAAGAGGATTGAAAAAAAGCCGCATTGACATCCACACGCAACAAATTAATTCTATTGTCCATCATTATTATTATTATCATCATCATCATCATCATCATTTGTACAATAACCAACATTACACATCATCTTTCCGATCGATGGATTCAATAGAATTTGTTGTTTTGTTTTTTTTGCTTTTATTTTTTTTCAATTTCGATTTTTTCAATCCATACATTGTACTGCTGGAACAATGTATACATTTGTTCATCTGTTTTTTTTCGATGTTGTTTTTTGTTGTTGTTGTTCTTGGATTTCTTTTCATTTGAATTTATTACGACAACTACAACAGCAAAAAAAACCTAATCTAATGATCATTTCAAAAGATTTGTTCATTCAATTCTATTCATCGTAGGTTGTTATTGATTATCATTGTGTTGTTGTTGTTGTTGTTGTTATTATTATCATCACCATTGATCTAAAGAAGATGATTTAGAAATTATCAAATTCGATATCTAATCAATCAAAATAGATCGATCAAATGATGATGAAGGTAATCATCATCATCATCATCATTAAAATTATAGTAACGTTTCGTTTCGATTCGATGCTCAATCTTTTTCTGTGATTCTTATCTTATAGATAAAATAGCTATGATGATGATGAATATGCAATGTGGAAGGAACAATTTTTTTTTTATTTCAGCTTTGAAATTTGAATCAATCAAAATTTTTATATGTTTGTTTTTACTTTTAAAAAAATTTCCAGCCTACACCAATTGAATCCAAGTGAGCCGAAAGTGAAATTTTTCTTTTTTACTCGACAATCAATTTTTGATTCGATAATAATAATTATCACGTGGATTATGTATAATTTACGTTACAGGATCATCCATCCATCCGACCATCATCTATGTCAGTCCAAAAAAAATCAGTTTAAATGAGCCTAAATTATCTTTTATTTCTAAAATAACAGATGAAATTTTGTTTGTTTGTTTTTTTAATGATCACATAAAATTGCGGAAACATTTACACACAACACAACAACATTGATAACGTTCTTTTTTTTCTTATTTATAAACATCATGTGACTGAATTGATTCAGAATTTTTTTAATTTTGTTGTTCAAATAAATTTAAATTTATTTTGACATCATCAGATTTTTCATATTATCAACACAATTTCCCATCGTCATCATAAAATTTCGATCCAATTTTATTCAATAATGAAAACGAAACAGTAAAGTAAAACAACATTGATTTACTATTCAGTTTTTCTTCGTATATGTCACGCGAATATTTTAAAAAAACCAACAACTAAATGTTCTGAACTTAACATTCTAATTATTGAATGTAAAGATTTTACACCGTTGAACAAAAAATTTCAATTTGAAACTAAAACAAAAACAAGAATGAGATCTGATTTAACTAATTGCCTGTTTCCGGATCATTATACCTGTTGTTGGTCATTCAATGTTTTTTTTATCACCATCATTTGGGGTTACCATCATTATCATTGACTAAGTACAAACAAACATAACAATTCATCCTGGTACAGGTCATTGGCAAATTTTTTGTTGTTGTTGTTATTTCTCTGGTCACATGGTATGATAAAAATATATGTAATGAATCAAGAGATAAGCAAAACAAAACAAATAAATAAATAAGTAAAAGAAGAAATGACATTTTCTTGAAAAAAAATTTTACAATTGTATAATGATGAGATTTTTTTTCATTATTATACTGTATATAACGGTAATCACCAACAACATCTCACATTTATAATAGAAATTTTACAATAAAAAAAATACGAAAGAAAATCAGAAAAAAATCTCATACAAGGATTAATATAATGAATCCTGATGCTCATCATCATCCTCAACAATATTAACAACAATAGCTTGATTTTATCTTGATTTTTTTTCATATTCCATGTTGTGAACTCTAACGGATTATTCATCATCATCATCATTATAAACATTGGTTTTGGACCCACATTAGATTCATATATTCAATATGTTCAAATTCAATATGAAATATTAAAAAAAATAATAAAAGAAAGAGATATTGAAGAGATTTGTGGTTTCAAATGTTTTTTTGATTCAATATGATGCTATTGAGCTTTAGAGAGCTAAGAAAGAGACTTTAGATTATAGATAATTGAGCAGTAATAATAAGAAAAAATAAGATTCTTCTTTACTGGTAAAAAAAACGTTGCAATTTCTCACACTTTTAGTTTCATTTACTCTTCTCATCTCTTTTCATCTTTCTGCTTTCTTTTCAACTATTTACCGAAAATGTTCCAAAATCTGATGATGAATGTTTTGAAACACGTTATTTTTTGTCCATTAGAAATTCATTCATAGTAGAGCAAAAATACAATTGATTGTCCATCTTTTTTTCACTATAAGTATTGTTGCGTGTCTTTTTTTCTGTCTCACACTTGATCAGTTTGAGTTTTTCTTTTCTTCATCTTGTATCGATATTTTTGCAATTCATTTTTGGATATCATCTTAGTTTGTATCATCCCATTTTTTTCCATTCGATAATAAAGATGATGATGATGATGATGTTCATATAAAAAGCAAACCAATTACTTGAAAATTTTTTCACTCTTTCTTTACTGTTTTTATTCACATCATCCAATAACAAAAAAAAAATCAGATTGATCCGTTACCAATGAAATGATTGTGATAAAAATATTAGATTTGAAATGAAATAATAACTCGATAATAATAGAATAATATCATCATACGAAAACAAAATCAAAGAAAAAAAAGTATTCATCGAATTGTAAATCTTCTGTGTTTTCAATGAATTTGATTCCATCATGTCAATCACGATGTTGATGTGTATACGTAAATGTTTTTCCAGTGTTTCAATTGTGTGGTGTTTATTTTTATTATCAACAACAACATATCTGTGTTCAGCTTATTATGCTGAAGGTATCAAAGGTATTAATAAGGGTAAATCATATCAATCACCATCTACATCATTATTATCAACATCGCCATCATCATCTCCATCATCATCATCACCATCATCGTCATCATCATCAACATCATCTTATGGCGGTATAACAATTAAAAAGCCTAGTTCACCAAGCAATTATGTACAACAACGATCTTCATCACAGAATCTAATTAGTACAAGTACGATGGGTAGTAAAAAAATGTCACCACTTGAAATGATGATATTTGGACCATCCGATTTTAAAGGTGGTTATGGTAGTAGTAGCAGTAGTGGCAGTAATAGTTTTAGTTCAATGAATTCTGGTGCTGGTATTGGCGGTAGTGGATCCGGTTATAAATCACCAATGATGACATTATCACCATTTCATTCAAAATTAATGGATTATGGTTCTGGTTCATCATCATCATCATCATCATTATATGGAATGAAAGGAGGTTCAGGAGGAATAGGTGGTGGTGGTGGATATCAACATCAACAACAACAACAACAATCACATGGTCCTATAACAGCAGCTGTTCAAACAAAACATTCTGTTCAATATATTGATGTTCCGAATAATTCTCCACCAATTATGCCGCAAACAATTTTAGTTGAAGCAAATCGTATACCATTGAATATTTTCTTTCAATCACGATCATCAAATTTGAATGTTGAAACTGAACATACACCATCACCTGGTAGTACACAGGAAACATCATCCGAAGATGAGCCACATCATCTTATACATCGTGTTGTTAAACCAATTATTCAAGAAGTTTATGAAATTATTAAACCATATCGAAAAATTACCCAAGAAATCAAACCAGTTGAAGAGAATATTCAAACAATTATTTCACGTCAAATTCCTTCGGATAATAAATATGTTCCTGTTAATGGTGGTGGTCAATACAAAGGTGGTAGTCAATCAACTTCGCCAATAACAATTCGACCTGGATCATCATTTCAACAACAAGCTGAAATGTATCAGGATTCAGGTTCATCATTTGGCGATGGAAGTGGTGGATATCAATCAAGTCATCTAAAACCAAATACCATATCATATGTTCAACAACGTGAACCAACTAATAACGATGCTGATATGTTTTTGAATGCAATTCGTCATGAAGTTAGTCGAATCAAAAGTCAAAGTAAAACGAATGATTATAAAACACAATCAACTGGTACGACAAATTCATACATTGTACCACCGATTTCATTAAATTCCATTTTCGATACATCGAATGAAGAAACGTCAAAGAAAACAATATCACAAAATTCGGAATATTCTCCCGAAGCTATACAAGCAGCTACCTATACATTGAATCCATATCATATTTCGACAACACGACAAGCATCATCTGAATCTGAACTTGAAAATGAACATGATGATGAACAACAAATAAATTCATCCGAAAATAATGAACCCAAAATTCGTTCATATCGTTATCAACCATCAACAAATGATAATAGTGAACAAACAATAACAACAACAACTGGAAGTAATACAGGTAGAAAACTATCGGATACATCTGCCTATGTAACGACATTATTACCAATATCATCAACATCGACTACATCAGAAAATTCTCCAAAATCAAGTACGACAACTACTACATCATCAATATCATCACCATCATCAGAATCTGATAATAATGATGACGATGATAGATCGACATCATCGAATATAAATAGTGATAATTTAATGATGACATCTCATTCATCACCATCATCATCAACTATGGAAAATAATGTCAATGATAATAATAATAATATCGATGAAAATAATAATAATAATAATAATGAAAACGATGATTCAATAAAAGAAACAATCAATAGTGATGGTAGTGAACAATCACCAAATACAATACAATCATTAATGATGTATGGTAATGATGGATCATTATTTGTTTCACAACCATCATTAACTGATTCATTATTGGCACAATTCGAAGAGAATAGTAGACTTTCCAATCTAAAACGTATGGGTTATGTATCCAGTATTGCACATACAAATCATTATGTTACAATCAATGATGATGATGATGATATGAATTATGGTCGACGACGACATAAACGTGCTCATCAATAATTGAATATTTATGATGAGGTGAATTTCTGTGTTTATTTTATTTTATTTTATTGATTCTGTTTTTTTTTCAATCTGTCCAATTTTTTTTCTTGATTTTTTTCATATCATTTATATGGATCAAGTTCCTGGAACCAATACATTCACACACACTTTTTTTCTTGTATTTTATTTTGATTAATTTTTGCTCTCTTGTTACACACACACAGATTCTCATCATCCTTATTCAATCAAAAAGTAATTTTGTCATTTACACTCACACACACACCTATAATCTCACAAATTATCATATTGTTTTTAATTCCGGGGAAAACATCCAAAAAAATCACATGCATCAAATCCAAAGTTTTGCACATTTTTGTTTTTGAAACAAAACAAAACACAACCATATCCATACGTCCCATACGAATCATCGTTTGATCATTGAAGATGATAATTGCATAATGGAATATTATTGTGGTGATTTGAAGCTGAAAACAAACAACAAAACAAAGGTCATGATCAATTATTCAGCTAATTATTCTAAATCAAAATCAAAATTCTTCAATAATGATTATCATATAATGTTTTTAGCAATTAGTCAAACATGTTGAAACATAGAAATATCGAGGATGACAAAATTCGTTGTGTTGTAATTCTGTTTTGTTTGTTTGTTCAAAAACAAAACTTGAAAAAAACCGAACAAAATCTTTGAACCGAATCGAGTATTTATAATTAAAAAAAATATAAATATTTTGCCAAAACAAAAAACACAGACCCACATATAATGTATATGGCCATTGCTCCTGAATAAAATGATTTTGAAAATTGTAATCTTTTTTTGAATTTTTTTTTCTTTAAAAAATAAAGTCAAACCTAAATATGAATTCAAGTGTCTCAATCCAGTTTATTTCATCAATTTTTTTGTTGTTGTATATTTAAGGTTAATGGGCATCCATTCAACATTTAACGTTGATGATTTAGGCAAGGGCCAATCTATAAAATGTTCGTTATTTTTCCTTCTGCTCACAATCAAAACTTAGTTTTTTGTCCATTCGTAACAATTGCTTTTGAATTTCAAATTTTATGGATTGGGTTATTTTATTGAAATGATTAATTTTTGATAATTTTCTTCTTCCTCAAAAATCTGACAACAGCAACAACAAAAATCATGATAATGATAGTGAAATTTTTTCCTTTTCATCATTTGAATTAGTAATTTAGTATTCTTCCAATTGAGATTTTTTTATTTATTAATCAACGGAAATTCATTTCAAGTTCAAGTTGTCATTGTTATTTCTTTCATTTTATTGTCAATTTTATTTGATGAATTTGATTTGATTTTTTTCATCAATATTTACAATAAATTGTGTGTGTGTGTGTTAGTGCTGTTTGTCCCATGATGATGATAATGAAAAGAAATTTTATCATCATCATTTTATATGGTCATCGTGATCATTTACCGATGTTAACCATATCATTATTAGTATTATTATCATCAACAATACGGATGTTTACGCCCAAATATTTCCAATCAACAGCAATATATGTTGATGCGACATCCATGCTGACCTATCATGGTAATAGGCCAAATTATCTCAATACATTGATGCAATTCAATGGACCAACAACTACGTCGAGAACCATAACAACAAAATTTAAACCGTTGAAAACTTATTCACCATTGATGATTGAACAACATAAGAAATCATTATTATCTTCATCGTCATCATCATCATTATTACCATCGCAATTGTCGTCGCCGTCGAGATTCAAAATTATTCATCCAAAAATTATGATGAAACAACAATTTACATCATTAAATCCATTGGCAAAATCATCTACAATATTAAATCCGAGCAAGTTGTTGATTGATTTCAATCAGGAACATCGTTCCTTTAATAAACCGTTTATTCAATCTGGATCACCATCATATGTGCATGGAGCAGAATCAAATATTTATAATAAAAAAATTTCAATGAATTCGCAACCAAATCATCAACAACAACGATCAAAAACTATATTGGTCGAAAGTTATGAACAAATTCCTTTAAATCTGGTATTTCGTTCATTATCAAGTCATTTGAATCTTATTCAAGAACATCAAAATCCACAAGAAAATGATCAAAAATTTTATCAATTACAAAAACAAGAAGAACCAATTAAAATGGTATTGAATATAACTAAACCAATCATACAGGAAATACATGAAATGATTTTGCCATATCGTAATATTCGACAACAAATACATCCAGTACAGGAATATATTGAAACAACTGTAATGGATCAACGAAAATTGATTGAAGCAGATGCAGGTAAACAAAAAAAAAACAATTGAACAATTTAAATTATTTTAGTTCTGAAAAATAATAATAATCTATCTTTTATGCTTATAAGAAAAACAATATCATCAAGATCGCCACAATAATGTTGATGATAATGAACGGAAATCACAGACTTTGAATAATGAAAATCGAATGAATAATGGAATGGATTCATCATCAAGGAAAATGGAAAACATTGTCTACAATGATCATGGAAGCTTTCATCATCGTCAAAATGCAGCACCTTTGTTGAAGCAACAACCATTAATGAATGATAAAAGTGCACAAATTAAACAATATGTCGATCATATCAGACAAAAACATCGACAACAACAACAGCTGCAACACCGTAACGATAATATCAATAACGATATGGATGATAGAATAATGGTGATCAATAATAAATTTGATTTGGCAAAATCATCATTATTATCATCATTAGAACCAGTGAAATCTTCAATAATCATGAATTTAGATAGTAACTTGGATGATAATGATAAGCAACAAAAACGATTTGGATTGAAAAGCGATGATTATCATCATCTTGTAAAAGAATCACAATCAGAGCAACAGTTTGTAACAGAAAAAAATATTTCTAAACCAAACAAAAACATCCAAGTGAAAGAGGATTTGTCGATGATAAAACCAACAACAATTTATAATAGTAATAATACAGAAGGAATGATGATCGATATAAATAGAATTAACGATTATCATGAAAAACAGAAGCTTGAAAATGGTAACCAAATTAAACAAATCATCGATCAAAGAAAAAATGGTAGTAACAACATCCGAAATACGTATGATGTTTATGATAATTTAGAAGGCGGATCAATGAAACAACAACGGCGAATTAGAAAAGGCGTCGATGATAAAAGTATGAATGATATTATCATAAATAAATCGGATTTATCGCCATCAACACGAATGATGATGATAATGATGACAACAACAACAACAACAACAACACCAGCGGCTATTGAAACAACGACGCCCACAATAGCAATCACATCGGAAGCAAACGATGAAAATTATAAATATGAATGGCCCGATCAACGGTATTATCATACATTTTCGGACATTAATGACCATTTAAAATCAAATGTGCAAATGAATAAAAGTGTAAACGTTGTACCGCCGACAACAAATTCAACTGAATTGTTAAGTAGATCATCATCATCGATAATTATAATGAATCATGATGATAATCATAATACAACTATTGCAACTACCTTACAATGATAAATGTTAACAACAACAATATCGACAAATCGGATCATTGATTTATCAATCATGATTAAATATTTTATCCAATTCGAACATGTTTTTTTCTCGCACACACTAAATCAATTTCAAAAAACATAAATCCATTCAATAAACATATGATGATGATAATCGAAAAGTATCTTTTTATTTGATTTGATTTCTTTTCGTTTAAATTTCTTAAGCAAACATTTCACCCATTTTCAAATGGAATCCGAATGATAAACATTGTTCAAATGAAAGTAGAGAATTTTTGTTGTTGTTGTAATACTCAAGTATAAGAAGTAAGGAAAATAAAAATCCTGTCAAATTTTCTTGTCAACGAAATAGTTTTTTTTTTGGTTGTTGAAAAACAATGTATAGGATGTTATCTGAACATGGCCAGAATATCGAACAATAGTGTATATTTGATATCTACGAAATTTTTTTTTGTTTTCGTTCAAGTTACACAATAAAAAAAATGAACAGAATCAGACACATTGACAGTTGGAAAGAAAATGAAATTTTTTTTCAAAGTTTTTTTTTTGAATTATTCAATTATCACTTCTGCCATACGATGATGTAAAATGATGATGAGGATGATGAAAGCAATGTGATGATCATAACCATCTGAAATGTTTTTGGAATGTGATGATGAGAAAATTGAAATTGTTATTTTTTTTCTGTTATATAATGATGACAATGATGATGATGATGAAAATGGTTCAAAACGTAGGATAAAATAAATTTATTTTTATATAACAAAAAAAAAAGTTATTCACATCATTGTTGGGTTTTTTTCTCCTCAAAATATTTTTCTTAAATAAAATGTTACCGTCTCAATATATATAAAGTTACGGAAGTGCGATACGATGATTTTCTTTTTTTCTTTCGTTTGTTGTTGAAAAGAAACTATTGAATTATTCTATTGAATGTTTCAATTGAAAATGAAAAAAAAAAACAAACAAACAAACGAAACATCCATGGTTGATAAATAAAGATCCTTTATATATTATTATAATCGTTGTTTGTTATTGAGGTGTTGATCTAAATGAATTTTTTTTTTTTTTTTTGGGGATGATGATTGACTATCAACTATTATCCTAAAAAAATCAAGGGTTTGGTAATATGCTTGTG